CTGCTTGTTAAGCAACTTGATCATTGCAGGTTTAAGAGGTTCATTCTTTTTCAATCCAATAGCACTTAGTTGATTCAAAGATTCATGATGGTACAATTTGAAATTGAAAGAGGCAAAAAGGTGGTATAAAATCAATTTGTATTGATCATAGGGCCCAATAGAGGACCAACCCATAACCGTGTTTGAAGCAATTGAGGCCAGAATAGTATTTCTGAAAGTGGCTTCTAAATGTTGCAAAAATCCTTTGGACCAGTTCTTGCTAGGAATACCTTGTTGTTCCAAATTATTGATAATTGCTTGGATTTTGTGGATTAACCCAGAGCTATCAAAAGTTTCATGGATAATCAAATCAGCATCAATCTTGCTTAACGTCTTCCGATTGAATGGATCATCCATAGAAGAGAATTCACTTTCTGCTAAGATTAAAGGAAAATATTTTTTAATCTCTTTAAACACAACAATTTGTTCAGCAGTAAATGGAACAGGTTTAAATTCAAAAGGAGCAGCAGTTGGAGTTGGAACAGCAGGATCAATAACAGGTGGTGGAATTGGAGCAGAAGCTGGTTTTTCCTTGACAGATAAATGTTTAGAGAACATCTTCATCATTTCCTTTCTTTCTTTCAACAACATTCTAATCAAATCTTTGTTGGAAATATCTTCATCATCAATTTCTTCTTCTTCTTCTTCGTCTTCAGAATGTTCAATGTTTGGATCAGACTCTTGATAAAAGGTTTCATCTGCTTCAGTTTCAGCAGCTGGTGGTGGTTGAGAAGCACCATATCTTGTTTTTGGAGCCATGGTAATAATGATTAAGCAATAGGAAAATGGTAACAATGATTAAGCAATTTGAAAATTTTCAATACAATAAAAGTTTTGTCAAAATAAAAGTTCTTGTCAAAATTTTAAAATTTTGTGTTATATATTCACTAAGTTTATTAGACCTTATAATGTAAAGAGTTAATTAGGGTAAACTCTTTACTTGACAACTTTGACTATGAGAGGTCTTAGTATGTCAAATTCAATATCTATAGTTGAGATGTCTATACGTAGATAAGAATGATATAAGAATGAGATCTAATAAAAAATAGTGTAATATAAGCTTGAGTTCTATTAAAAGGTTGAACTATATAAATAAAGTGCGAATCTCTGAATATATGAGATTCTTCAAGTTGTCCAGCTTTGGTACTCTAATTTCACATAGCTGATCTAGTTGTGGTCATAATGAACATGTAGCTAAACTATGATGATTACCTAAGCCTAATTCAATTGAAATGGTAATTTAGTGATCAATCAACAGCCAATTCCAGCCCTCGTGGCCAGGTTGGCACAACGTCCCATTAAAGTCTGTATTTACCTGCCCACACAAGGAGCCTAACTTCTAGGCTCGCACACAGGCAGGTGGGAAATTCGGTGGTACGCTCTGTCCAAGCTAGGCGGGAGGACCTTTAAAAAAGTTCTCTGCCTAAATCTCTTGAGAGGTTCCAGGCGTGGAAACGCTAGGGTGTTGCCATAAGAAATCAAACGCTTTCACGAGTGTTATGGGAGGCTTCACGGGCAGTTGGTCCTTTACAACAAGGGGCTATTGAGTGCAATATACAGACCGTGGGCCCTGTGCCCATGGAACCCGATACCGATTATTTTAGTGGGACATCTTCTTTTTTTTTTAGTTTAGGCTGGTTATGTTGTTTGGTGGATTGAAGTTGGTGATGTTTTTCTGAATTGGAAAAACAATTGACAATATTACCGTCAACTATTCAAATCCACACCATAATGAAACTACCTAGTATAAGAAGGATCTTTGCATCTTTTAGAACTGAAGAAGAGGAGAAGATCTACTCCAGGAAAGCAGTATGTTGTGTATCCCCTGTGTACTGTTTCAGGATTCTAACACATTCTAGTTCTTTAATCTATTAGGTTTCCTTGGTTCATGTGTACTATTCTCCTTTGTTGCACAGAAATTGGCTAAACAACCAAGAGAGTTAGTGAGAGCTGCTAAGGCAGTGGCATTGACTAATGCGATCAAGAGTTGATTATAGATTAATCTACAACGATTGGGATGATGTTCCAAAGGGATGACATATTTTCAAATTATAAACAGTGATCTATGTACATTAGTTTTATGAAATGTCTTGTTCACTCAATTGCCAAAGTAAAGACTAAACAATCAACAGTGAATCCTTTGGAAAAAAACAATCAAAAAAGCAAAAAAAAGAATATAACACAAAGGTGTAGCCACTATTGCAACATCCAAATGAGAAAAATCAAAAAGTGTAATATAAACAAAAATAAACAAAACATTGGTAATTCATTAATTTATATATGTGTGTTTATGGAAATGTTAATGCTAGTTGTAATATATGGGAAATTTTCATGAGTATCATTATTATTTTATTTTATTTCATTTCATTTCTTTAAATCATCAAGTAAGAAATGTTTAGCCATTTCATATGCAGTCCAAGATATAGCAGTTGAAGGAACATTTGCAATAATTCTTGGTTTTAAACCTCTCCAAAATCCACTCCATCCATTCAATTGATAAATGATCTTAGCAGCTTTAAACAAAGTGTTTGAATTTCTAACATCTGGGTTTTTAGATTCACCTCTAATTTGTAATAATGTTTTAATACAATCTAATGGAGTTGTTAATGCAGCACCTGTTGCACCTGATAACCCACCACAAAAACAATGAATAATTGGATCATAATTATTTGAAGGGTTTAAGATTTTTGTTGAACTTTCATAAATCATAAAATTCATAGCAGCAAATGGTATATTCATACTTATAGTTGTTGGATAACTATAATAAAAACTTTTAAAACCTTCATTTTTATACATGAATTTTGACAATTGAAACATTGAATAATTTGAAGAACCTAATTGCATTCTTTGTTTAACTGTATCAAAAGGGTTCATTAATGCATCAGCTGCAATTGTAGCACAACTACCTGCAATTGCAGTTTTAACTGGATTTAAATTATTTAATTCATCATCTTTGATTAAATTTTTCTTTACAAATTCATAAGTTGCAAAATAAACAGCATGAGCAGGTCCAGCACCTAAAACCATTGAATTTATACCTTTCCATAACGCTAGGGAACCTTCAGTGGAGCTTATCCTCGTTATAGCGTTAAGGACACCTGTATATACTGTTGTGGAATTCATTGATTGCATTCTTGTCTTTATTGCATCGATTGGGAACATTATTGAATGCTCCATTATACCTGCAAATGCTCCAGCAGCTAGTTGTGCACCCAAAGTGGCAGATTCAGGTAGTGCTTCATAGTCTATTTCCACTGAGTTATCATGACTGATAAAATCTGGTTTTATTGATTGATTGTTATGTTCAGTTGGTGGAGGCATCTGTACTATTGTATTGAAAGATGATTCTTTTGATATTGGCATCTATATGGATAGGTTTTAAATGGTATTCAAGAGTATTATCGTCCCTTTTATGATGATCTAGGAATATTATAGATTCAAACAATTGTCAATTGTTTTATACTCATCAAGTTAATCCAATCTAAATTTTTTTTTTCCTTTGAAGTGACGAATTTGACTGTCACTTTTTTTTTTCTTTACCGCAACGAAAAAAACTTTTTTTTTTTCATAAAGCGATTCCAAGACCGATTATGAACGAATTAGCGAACAGTAAAAATTACACCCAGGATCGTGTAATTGAAGGAAATGAGAATTAATGACAGATGAGTAATATGTTGCTGATAATAGCCATTAGAGTCAAAGATATAAAAAGCTCATGATACAATTAGCTTATATTCATCAATCTATTGTCATCTCTCGGAGTATCAAAATTCCGATAGCTTGATCGCGACCTTGATTACTACAAAATTCAATGTCTAGATCTCTATCAAATTACTTTATCCATTTATTTAATACTAATCAAAGTTTATTTACTTAAATCAAGTCCTTTTTGTTCTGGAACAATTGAAATGACTTTACCTGTTTCAATAACTGTTTTAACATTTTCCACAACAAATTCCTCCATTTTTTTAATAGTTTCATATGAATGAGTACCCATATGAGGTAATGCTAAAACATTTGGTAAAGAAACTAATTCCATATTAGCATTTGGTTCATTTTCTAAAACATCAAGACCAGCAGCTCTAATAGTACCGTTTTTCAAATATTTGATAAAAGCAGTTTCATCAATAACTGCACCTCTTGCAGTATTAATTATAACAACACCTTTTTTAACTTTTTCGAAAACTTGTTCATTAAATAAATGTTTTGTCTTTGGGTTTAATGGAATATTAATTGAAATGATATCAGATTTTGCTAATAATTCATCAAATGAAACATATTCTGCACCATCTTCTTGATCTTCTGGTAATCTATTTCTATTATGATATATGAATTTTTCAAAACCAAAAGGTTTTAATTTTTTAAGAATATTACGACCAATACCACCTAATCCAACAATACCAACAGTTTTACCTTCTGGATCATTAGCAACTTCAGCACCTGCGACTCTTGGATTTGATGGCCATTTACCATCTAATAATCTATGATGACCATCACCAAAGTTTCTCAAGGCACCTAATAATAAGAAGACATGAGTATCAGCAGTAGCGTTATCAACCAGAGATGGGACGTTTGATAATTGGATTTTTTTAGGGATTAATGAATGAGCATCAACTTGATCATAACCTGCACCGTTATGGGCGATTGCGATTAAAGAATCTGGTAATTGATCAATTAATTCTTTATCGAATAATCCTGTTTGATTAGCAGATGCAAAAGTTCTTGTAATGTATTGAACATTTGAATATTTCCCTTTCAAATCTTTTAAGAATTGTTCACGATTTGGAGAATCAGCAACCACAACAGTGGCTATCTTTTCCAATTCTTTCCATGCTTCTTGGGCATAAGAAACGGATCCTAATCTTAGTACTATTGGTTTTGTGGTCATTGTAGCAGCCTTGAACATGGTTTTTAGCTGAATTGTAATTGAATTGATACAGAGATTCTTTCACTCTTTATATACTTTATCCAACTCTTTTCACGATAAAGAGCAGTGCTTTGTTTTACTGCTTTCGGCGCTTAAAAAAGACGTGGGATGGGTCGCGAATGTTGACTCGGTTTTTTTCCACTACAAGAGGAAAGAAATGCGATTTCACAGCTTATAATTCAGAGTTGACGTAGACGGTGTTTGCCTGGGCCTTGAAGCCATTGAAGGGCGAGGCTGCTGCTGAGGTGTAGGCACCGAGGTCTGGGAAGTAGAGCCAGTCGCCCACAGTCACATTGTGGGACAAATAGGTGCTCTGGGAGATACAGTCCAGCCCGTCACAGGTTGGCCCCCAGAGGGAGACTTGGAACCTGTTATTCTCATGGGGATTCAGGTCTCCATACAAGAATTCTCCACGGTGGCTCAGGACATGGGCGATTGGTGTCTGGTGGTCAAACAGAATACAATTCATGTTCCCGTAAACACCATCATTGACATAAATCATGGCTGGTGTGGAATTTGAAGAATCGAAAACTGATCCACCTCTTCTAGCCATAACATGTGTAGCCAATGTAAACGCATTAGCAACGAAATAACGACCAGGTTCTGCAATGACTTGAGCTCCATATTCAGCTGGGAAATATTCATCCAATGCATAGTTTAATGCTCTTGATGCTGTATCAAAAGATTCATAGGAAAACCCACCACCAACATCTAATAAATCCATATTGAACCCCATTGATCTACCCATATTGAAAACTTGTCTTGCATCATAAACAGCCTTGATTAATGAATCATTATCACTTGCACCTGATCCAACATGGAATGAAACACCTCCAATTTGTAAATCTAATTCTTTAGCCAATTTTAATAAATTCTCAACATTTGAAATTGGTGCTCCATACTTTGTACTCAATCTACATTGAGCAGATTCATCATCTGTAATGATTCTCAACAATAATTTACAATTTGGATGGAATTTCTTCAACTTGTATAATTCATCAGCATTATCAAAAGTTGTTAAATTAACATTGTTTTTATCTGCAAATCTCAAGAATGATCCAACTTTACAAGGATGTGCATAAATGATTCTTGAAGAATCAATACCTAAGGATAACACCAATTCAATTTCACCTTTGGAAGCACAATCAAAATTAACACCTAATTTGGCCAATAATTTCAAAACTTCAGGATTTGGATTACATTTAACTGCATAATATGGATGCACTCTTGATAAATTTTGTTTCCAAATCTTGACCAATCTTTCAATCTTACCTAAATCACAAACGAAAAATGAATCTTCAGCTCCTGGTTCACAAGTTTCATGATTAATTGATGAAATCTCTTGAGATAATGCTTGTGCAATTAATTTTTTAGAAATTGGAGTTTCTAATGAAATTTTCTCACCAGTTTTAGGGACTTGAGTTTTCAATAAATTGAAATTGACACTAGATCTAGTTGATGATTCATTCTTACCAACTTGATGATGATTAATCAATTCAACTGGGAAAATGTTGGAATCTTCAACTGTTGTAGTACTAGCTGAAGTGGACATTGAAGCTGAGTTAATAGTGGCAACAGCGGTTGAATGTGTAACGTTGCTTGACTTAATTCTGGCACTATCAACCAGACGCAAGACGGATTTATTACTTTTGGAAGTCACTTTGAAGAAAACTGGAAATCTAGTGAGAAAAGAGAATGGAATCTTTTCTTGTGTGTTTTTCAAGTCTTTAAATACCTCTCAAGAATCTGTTCAAGGATCAAATATTCACAATCTGGTAAATATCTTCCTGGGAAACGTGGAAATGGTTGGTGTTGGTGTGGTGGTGGATTATTTAGCACTGTGTATATCTGGGGATATTCACAGTAAATTGTTATGGACTTTCAAGCGGCAGCTCTCGTGTTGGAATTGGAGTGGTAAAACGAAAACCTGGCTGTGTGTCGAATTGTGGGTTTTTCTTTGAAATATAATACGTATAATCCTTTTTTTTGAAGGTTATACCGTACTATATTTTGTTCTAAAATTTGAATCACTCAACTTCTTTGGAAATGGGAAAGATGAGTTGGGAGCAACAAAAAAAGGACACAAATTTGCGGGAAACAAGTGATGGATACAAGCAGTGGCTGACTAACTTTCTCTGTACTTTGTAACAGTTGACCTAGTGACCTGGTTTGTTTCGTTCAAAGGAAAAAGGTGAAAAAGTCTGAATTTTTTTTCTACCTTTGTTTGCTTGAAAAAAAAAAATCCAAGTGTTTTTGGCCTTAACAAAATCAACAAAATGCTGAAATCTTCGAGAAATTATTTTGTAAACAAACACAACACGTCTTCAGATTAATCAAAAGAGGTTTAAACTGGTATTAAAGGTACTGATTATCTACATGCTGAACTAATGTTGCTGTTGTTTATTAGAACACGCTGTCTATAAAAAAAGATGAGATTAATACGTGAACAAATGAAAACAAACAGACTATGATAAACCCAATATTCTCTCGCCCAAAAAATTAATAAATAAAACCAAATATGTGTGTGTGATGATAATGACAAAAAAAAAACAAGTACTTCAAAGTGTTGATATAACCAAATGTGCAGCAAGATCATTTAGAAGCTTTCTCTTTAACTTCCACTTCACCACCACAATGCAAACATTTATAACCCAAATGTGATGAACCATCTTCATCAACAATATTAACTTTACCCCTACTCTTCATTGCAGTCCATTCACCTTTAGCTGGGATCCTACCACAAGACTTATCCATACATCTAGCACCAGTCTTCTTGTATCTTAACCCACAAGAATTACAAAGTTGTCCAGCACTTGTTGACCAACTTGGTCTCCAACATGGTGATTGATCAGATCCACAAGAGATACATTTTCTTTTGTTTTGATTGTGGTGATGGATTGTATATGTATGGTTGGGACCTTTATGATTTTGAGTATGGATGAAGTTATTAGTTTCAATGACAATATCTCTTGTTGCTTGATAATTATGATGATGGTGATGACTATGTTGTTGTGGTTGAGATTTATATCTGAACTGGTCTTGGAAATGATGATTCAATGATGATTTGTCATCTGATGTCCTTATTGGTGGTAATGCAATTGGTTGTTGAGATTGTTTTGAAGTTGATGATGCAGTTGGTGAAGTTGGTGTATGATCAGCTGAAGTATAAGTATAGTTGGACTCGTATGGGAAATTGACATTAGTGGTGTCGAGTTGTGATGGTAATGCAATTGGTGATGAATTTGTACCAATTGGATGTAATGTAACAGGTGTGGCCATTTCATCATCTGAATGATCACTAAATGATCTCTTATTATAATGGTTTGTTGAAAGATGATTATAAAATTTCCTTGGTGAAACCATCTTTTTGCTGATTTTAGATGTGAATGTTGGTCTTTTGAATCTATGCTCTCTATCCAATTGTTCTTTCAATTCTGTTAACAAAATTGCATCATTTAAAAGATCAAACCCTGGTTTATCAAAACGTAACAAATTCTTCAAATTGTTAAACTTTTCTGGGAAATTTTTTTCAATCCATAGTTCCAAATTTAATCTCCAATCATCATCATTGATACAAGTATCTGGGTAACCTAATGAATGATTTGAAATACCTCCATATCTATCATTTTGCTTCAAATATTTATAATCATTATTGATTGCTGATGGTAATAGAGTAGCTGGTGATTGTAACTGGCTTGGCTTGTTGTTACCATTGTTGTTTATGAGTGCATGATCAGCTAAATTCAATGGTGATGTCTTTGGAGTAGCTAATGCATGATTATGATGTGGAAGAAGATTTGGTGAAGATGATGGTAAAGGTGCAGATTTGAATGAAGATGAAGGTGGTGTTGGTGATAAAGATCTTCTTGTGAAAACAGTAGCTAATGGTGGTGAAGGTGGTGCAGTTCTTGCCCTTTTGTTTTCTTCCAATGGTTCAAGATCTTCAAGATATCTTTTTCTCTTCATTGAGGAATCATTGTGAACTAATGGATGTAATAAATTGGATGTTGGCATGTTGCTATTGATATGAGCTGAAACAATACTCATAATTCCTAAGATTGAAAACGAATGTGGGTTTTTATGATTGATTTGACTCTCTATTCAAGTTATAATGAATATATATCAAACAACAAAAGGCCAAAAAAAATAATGCTTATGATTTATAACGTTGCAGGAGTGAATGACAAATGACCAAACAGATGCTTTAATATGTAAAATTATATTAGGATGGGTTGTTGATGTGAATTCTAACTTGATCTAAAATAAATGGTGTTTTTGTCTTTTGGAGATAGAAACCACGGTAACCAGCAAATCAAATGTGATCTGAGAATTTAGAACAAGCAACAAAGGAAAAAGTTGATGAAAGTTGAAGAAACCTTTTTCTAAAAGGATGGGAAAAGTGCAACTTATAAGAGAACCAGTCTATTTGATGATTCTATAACAATGTTTGATCTTCTGAACTATAATGGAACCAAAAAAGTTAGTCAGATCAGATCAAGTCTATATTAAGCAGGGATCTATTCTTTTTTTTTCGTGGATGGGTAGGAGTTTAAAAATCACCTAAACAACCAGGTACTTGAAGATTTGAAAAAAGATAGAAATGTGGCCAAATTAGGAAACTGTGTTCTTAAAAAGGGAACGAAAATGAATGAAAATGATCAGTTGGTGAAATTGGCAAAAAAAAAGTTCTAATGAATGACTTTAATAGTTGGAATTAAATGAATGTATGAAGTTGATTCAAATGAGTGTATAGAGATTGTTTGATTCTTGGTGAGATTCAGAAAAGAGTTTACTACAATTGCAAAGTTGAAGAAAAGTGGCATACTTTAGCTATATATACGGTTCTACTAAAAAAGGTTGGATCTTGTACCTTTCAGGAAGGACTATTTTTTTTTCTTTGTAGTGTACTTCATGCAATGGCTTGCCCTGAATCTGATCCATAACATGTCAGTACGTAGCTATAAATCAGATCGTTTTACCTAGATCGGGTAGTCCAAGGCTGGTTTGTTACTTGAAGTAGGTTATATTTGATTTGATCCATGTATTTTTACCTGGATCTCAGTTTGGTGTTCATGGGGTTGGTGATTTTTATTTTTTGTGCTGGCCAGAGGCTACAAATTTGGAAGGTTCCATGCAGCTGCACCTTTCCCGATTTGGACTAATTAGATTTCCGGTTTAGGAAGTCTAATTGAAATTTTTGACGTGGCCCGATTGGGAATTTTTCCACATCTGGGAGATTTTGAGATACGTTCGCGGGACTTTATTCAATTGTACACGAAAGCACAGGCGATGAGCTTTAAATTAGGAATATGTAAGTAGAATTAATATTTTACATTGGAAGTTTCATGATTAGTTTGATTCATATTAGGTACTCATGGTGGTATTAATGTTCTTGGATAGTGAAATTTGAGTAATTTTGCAGTTGACTTGTATTTCTATTTTCAAAGCTGGTCATCAGCAGTTAGAGTTTGAGTACTGCGATCAAGATCTAGATCCTAAGTTCTAACAGTGAGATCATAACCACTTTTAAGGTGATTCTTGTCTTATTTATGACTTGCCTGTCTTCCACTGAGAGTTTTTGCAACAGCTTGTTAAATTATTTGGCTCCGATGGTGGTTGATGATCACTCTAAAGCAAATATTATTCATTTAAATATACTAAACATTAATTCGTTATATCAAGCTTCATGATCCAACCCTACCTCTTTGGAGTCCCGTATCACCCTCTTCCTTTGCCTGAGGTGATTCTTGGTCCCTTGTGGCTTCTTGATAAGTTGGAAGTTCTTGAGCATAAACTGGATACCTTGGAACGTCTTCTTCCTCAGCATCACTATCACGATCAAATCTGGATCTAAACCCTTGTCTTCTTCTTTCAGCGTTCGTTTCTATAGGAGCTTCCTGATCACTGGTTCTTCTGATCCTTGTCACCTTTTCCTTGATCAACCATTTTTCAGACCAAGCTGTCCATATCGTGAGCAAAACATAAATCAATTGCAGTCCAACAATCAACCATAAAAGAGCATAAAATGCTGAATTCCCCCAAGTACCACTAATTCCATATTGATTATCACCATTGGAAAAGCCTTTTCTGGCTCTATCATAAACAGATGTAGCTATAGCAGCGCTTATAAGCAATGTGGCAGCTGATACAATTGTTGATAAGAAACTTATTCCTAGAATAAATTCCTGTGATGGTGGATAGCATAGCGAAATGAAATTCAAAATAAGTGATATGCCAGCAAATAACACACCAACCAACATTGTGATAAATATTTTGTCTGTCATCTTGCTTTGAAGTCTGAAAAAATCCACACTAGAGGGAAGTCTAACACTCAAATATTCAAGATCTCTGAGGGCATTTCTTCTATTAGCATTACTGATTTCACTTGCAATCAACTGATGTGGTTCGAAATAGTAATTCTTAGATGCACTTGTGCAATAGGTTATTCTATAGTCACCATTTGTTAATTTCTGTCCTTTGCAGTAATGCTTGACACCAATAGAGTAGATATCACTGAGTCCTGCTTTTTGAAGATCTAAACTTGCCACTGCAGTTGCAAAACGAGGGAAAGGTATTACCGCTGTGAAATTGATATTGGTAAAGTCCAATTTTAATGTATAGATGTTTCTGTATGGTTTCTTGTTACTCCCTTGACACGTTAATAAAATGGTTCCAATGATGATAACAATGATATTGATATTGATTGCAGCAGCTGGTAACTTGATAATTCTCATTTGATGATGGCGTTGGTAAATAAGATTATTGCCCACATCCTAGAATTTCGGTACCATCTTACAATTTTTATAGTCTTAATAGTCACTTCAATTGTTCAAACGTGCTTCTGGATAATGAGAATGTTGAATGCAATTTCCCAGCTGCTTGTGATGATTATTTTTTATGATCAGTGTAGTGACACTTGGCGAAGCAAAAACTGTACACCTAGTGTACCAGGCTTCAGTGCACCCATGATATTGTTCAGAGTGTAAAAGGGCCCAAAGCCATAACAAAATATCGCTCAAGGCAGGTTGGAATCAGAAGCTGATCTGATTGAAGTCTAAATAAAGTCAACATGCTCTGGACCCTGTTCAACCTTTTCGATTTTCGCGTTTTATAGATCTAATTAAAACTCGCACGTGACAGTAACGGACAATACATTTTTCTTGAACAACAGTACGGTATCCAATTGAATTTGAAATTACCGAGTATCTAATACTCAACATAATGCTAGTTGTCTATGCTATCTCGAGCAAGCTTGAAGTGTTATAAGCTTCCAGTTGAGAGTGAGTCAAAGGTGCAAAAACATTTGTAGTTGTTCACGAAAAAGTGTTTTTTACGACATGCTGCATGTACCTGCTCAAGTTGTGATCTTTGAAGTTTGATCAATTTACACTGGATCATGACGATTCATTCACAGCTCTCTGTGAATTTACAGAAATATACGTGTATAAGCTTTCATAAAAGCTTACCAGCTACAGTATTAATAAGAGCTAAAAAGATTGCAGCTCTACACTAACTGTCTGATCTGAACAATATCAATACGTATTACCAATGCTGTATAAAATGAGTTGTAACTTATTGGACCTATTTGTATCTTGAGGTTAATCACTACTATCAGTGGCGCAAATCACATACTATTGGTCTTCTTCTGTTTGCTGTCTAACGTGAACAGATTCATCTTTTTCAACACTAGCCTTTATGATCCCTTGTATTACCAAAGATTTCTGAGGTGATTGGGTTTTTATTATAAGGAGCCTTTTCTGAAGCTTTTCCTGAAGCTTTTTCCAAATCAGATGATTCAATATATGATAGTGACTTCGATGTAGAATCATCGAAACCTTGATTGCCTCTTTGCTTTTCATAATCACCAATAAATTGAGACACATATCTCTCTTTATCTGACTTATCAACAGATGGAAACAGAGCTGCTGGTTGGACTTTATTTATTTCATTTAATCCATGACTAGCTTCTAGATCACCATAATCTTCATTATGGATTTCTTCCTCCAATCCTAAAGTCTCACTCAAAGATTCTGAACACGCAATAGAACATTTTATCACTGTGACAATAGCATATAGAATCAATAAAAGTCCAAAGCTCAACCAGATCATGATATGGAATAAGCCCTTTCCAACACTAGCTTCTATGCCATATCTTTTACTTGAATTAAACCCATCCCTTGTCATGAAAGCAGTTCCGACTGTAACCAAGGCTGGAATCATGAAGCATAATCCTGAAATAAAAGCTAGCACCAATTCAAAAATCCGCCAACACCAAAAGGTGAAAAGAGGGCGGTATATCAAACCAACCAACAAGAGCACCATTGTGATCCCACAGGAAATAATGGCTATTAAAAGGCAGTAGTATTTTGCAGGGACATTTATTGAAAAGTTACCTCTTGAAAGATCAGGAACATCATATGGGAAACTAATCATATCGTAAGTGAGTCCTCTCAATGGTGGATAATCTTTCTCCTTTATATCGTTTAAAAGTATTGTGGCAGGGTCTGGAGCTTTCAATCCAAGACAGCGTGTAGCTTTAAAGCTCCCATTGTGGGAGGACCCTTTGCAAAAGCTTCTAATACCAAGTCTGTAAATCTCACTTAAACCAGCATCTTCTAAAGTCAATGATGGTGTAACCTTGGCATATCTATAAGATGGTATAACCATGGTGAAGTTTATATTGGTTAAATTTAATTGGACTTCATAAACATCAGTTAAAGCTTTGTTAGTTGAAGTTGATCCCAATAGACAAAAGATTCCAAGTATGAAAACAGTACAGGTAATCAATAATGTGATGGATAATCGGACCCTTCTTGAATATTTCATTTCGTAGTTTGATTTGAGCTTAATATTAATTGTAATTCCTCAGCAATATTCATTGTGAAATATTAATGTGAATGAAATGGGAGTATTTATATCTGAGATTTGATTCATTGCCATTGTAAAAAGATCAAATCAATCTTGATCACCGTTGGAATATTTTAACGTCAAAGTCTTATTATTCATATGTGCCATATGGTCATTTTCATGACCGGCTGAATCTTATGAGGTACACTTCACCAGGAAGCAGCCATCGGTTCCCAAACTTGATTCATCGGTTGAGTATTTGTGTTTTACGTCATGTTGTTAAATTGTTGTTAAACTTCTACAAAACGTTGAGAAACTGGGTCATTCAGATTCGCGGTGCTCGTAAACACTCATTTGGTGTCACAAGCGGTAAAATCTCAGATAAAGATAAAGAAATTGATTGATAAAAGCAAATGTCAATGATCTAATGAAGTGGCTGAAGAATGATGATGGAACTGACATGAGGTGAGTGAGTCGGCACAGAGATATCAACATGAATTTTTGGCATGAATCTAATTTGTTGATCATCACAATCACCAGAAGAAACCGAGGCAGTCCAATTGTAACAATGTAGGGACTAGGAAGTATATGACTGATTGAACCTTCAAGATAATGGTATTGAGTTCAGTGTGTGCACAAGGATTGCAACAGCTCAATATGATTTCTTTGGTGCTTTCATTTCAAGGGCTTTTATAGACATGGTACCCTTGTAGACTTAAGCTTATCTGACAGATAACGTCAACTGGACAAGCCCTCGATTTTCAAGCTATAACGTCGCGTAAGGAAAAGAAGACAACTCTGCAAATAAAGCTTGATTGTGAAGCCATTGCACTTGTGATTAAATTAATGATTAATGATATACAACAAAAGAGGCAAAGATTAGTTAGCAGTTTGACACCCAACAGCTGATTTGAATATGCCACGGTTAGGTGAAGTTGACTCTTGACTTTCGCGCATGATATTTCTTTAAAGCTTGAGGACTCATTGAATCGAAGACAAGCAGCCTTTGAAGGTTTTAGTTACTCTAACTCATTCTTAAGCCCCTGAAGAGCTATTGGCCAGTTTATAAGGCCATCATATATTTTAGTACTGTAGAGTTGCACCGTGAGTATTTTCCTCATCTATAACTGAAGTCTGAAGCTACTAACACGTGATCTCCAAAGCCTAGACTCTCAGAGCGTTAGAAAACATTACATTTCTTAAACACTACCAAACAACGTATATAAACAGGTTCAATAGACCGTTCAAAGGCAAATACGAAAGCTGAGACCATCCCCAAGGACTGATAGAAGATAGACGATGGAATTGTGGACGGTTGACAGCTACAAGAAGAATTCAGGAGTTCCTAAAATGAGGAAGCGGAAGAGGTTAACTTTGACTTGTACAAGTTGCAGGCAAAGAAAGATTAAATGTGATCAAGGAAGACCATGCTCATCGTGCATCAAAAGAAAGATACCAGCAGATATGTGTATCTACAATGATACTCCGTTTGTTAATGAGAATGGCTCAGATTCCCCTGGTGGAGTAGCTGCAGATGACTCTAATGAGAATAATGTAAAGGCATTGAAGGATGAGGTTGAATACTTGAAGAAACAATTGGCTGAACTTCAACACAATGGAGCTAATTCAAATACATCTACTTCAGGATCTACACCTTTCAACTCCACAAATAATCCCAAGTTGAAGCTTTATGGTTATCTCCATTCTAAACCTAACAAAACGGTCCATTTTGGTCCAACTAGTTGGAGGTCTCTAGTTGATCGAGAGGAAAACTTCGATGGATTGATTAATGAAGCTAAGGATTATATCAAAAATGTGAGGAAAAAATGGAAATTTGAAAATGACATAAACAAAATGTCCTCTGATGATTATAAATCCATCAATGTGGAGTCTCCAATTATGTTATTAGATAACTTGGCTCGTTATTTGCCTTGTTATGAAGTGGTTTCAAATCATGTATCAAGGTATGTTAAAGGTTATTGGAACAGAAGAACACCTATAATCGATAACGATGAGTTTCTTAAAGATTTTGATGGATTATTTAGTCAAATGAGTGATGGCTCATGTCACATCAGAATTAAAAACAAAAGCATTGATTATGCAAAGATAGCTTTAGTTTTAATCGTTGTTAAACATTCAATGAATACTGAAAATGCTTATAGTGCTATACGTCAGGCTTATGACTCAACTGATAGGATGTTACTATATGCAAACAAACTACTGGAGCTTTCAAATTTTATGTCAAAGCCATCAATTCCTGCATTGCAGACGTTGATTCTACTAAGACAATTCAAAATGATCAATCCAAGTGATGATGATGGTGGAGATGGTCACAAAGGTACACTTCAATTCAAAACTGCAATCAATATGGCAATTGTGTTGGGTTTGCATGGAGATATTGATTCGATTTATCGTGGTTACGCTTTAAATCTTCGGACGCTTTTGAAAGTAATTTGGAAACATCTATTATTTCAAGATGCAATTCTATCATTTCATATGGGTATACCTTTAAGCATCAACAAAAGCTTCATTAATCCTTCTGGTCTTGATGATAGTGATGCATATGGTAAAGTGACATCCTGTCTCCGAGATGCTGTTGATAGTCTGACTTCTAATGAATGCCGTCAAAATGATTTGTTGAGAATTATCAACAAAATGGAATCTTGTCATGAGGGTGATTTGCTGCACTTATCTACAACTTTGAGAGGCTTGTCAGAAGATACAGTCTTATCTGACGAAACTTGCCTTGTGAAGATTGAACTAAAGATGTTTGCCATCTACACTATCCATGTGTTGTACGATGTACTGTACCAAGGAACAGATAGTTCAAATCCTGATAGAGAATTATTTTACAATGGGACAATGAAGTATGGTGTGCTAACAATTTCTCATTTCATTGAAGCCATGATTAGATTCAACAAGATATGTATGGAAAATTCAAATACACCAGAAATTTTTGTGTTGGTAGAGATGTGTCAGTCACTTGTTGGTGTTTCCAAGATTATTTTTTTGAAAGTTTACACGTGTCTTTATACTTTTGAACTGGTCAGGTTAGTTAATATCAATACAGATGCACAACCAACCTTACAACAGGTTTTCAGTTTAAGTATTACGGAAATTGAGAGGTTGAAAGTTGATGATCGTTCCAGTATGTTGAACATTTCGTTCAAATCACCGGCATTTATGCACGCTTTAATGACTTTATCATGCAAGTATTTGTTGAAATTGAGGAACAACTCCTTTGGGACTGTTTTTAGTATGAATTTTTGCCTGCTTACTGTTTTAGCAGTGTTTAAGTACTTTGAAAAATTTATTGATCAAAAGTTTCACAAACAAAAACATGCCATTAATCAGCTTACAAAAGAAAAACCAATAATTGTTAGTTATCTTGAGGGCGTTCATGACAATATATTGGCCCCATCAGAACTTAAATCAAGTACTGGTAATTTTTATCCACCCTCAGCAAACAGTTGGTCAACAAGTCAATATTCATTGAATCCATCATCTAATACTATCTCAGATAGTAATCTATCACAAAGCTCAAAAGATTTTAGCAAGAGTGATAACAATATCTCTCAATATTCTCAAGCAAATAATTATACAAATGCGCCCCAGTCGGCAACTACATTTACTGCTACAGATGATTCTTTCAATGATATGGTTCAAAAGATTTTATACTCTGGTGAACTTGATTTTTTTGACGTTCAGTATGGTGAAAATTTGAGTTACGATGGGTTAGATGATGTGCTAGCTGGGACTGGTATGTTTTATGATGAATCAACGGGAAACTTTACAAGCAGTACAAGTCATAATGGACCTGAATGATTGGTCATGACTTACATTAATGTTTTTATCACTATGAATATTGTGGGTATATATATCTCGTAAACACGTTAAAGACTTATGACTTTCTATTCTAAACATCATATTGGATCAGGTTATTTGATTTCTGTACGGATCGATTCTTTTTTGAAAATAGCCAACTAGATTTCTCGTTGTTGAACGAGTGGTTATTTCCCTTTGCTCTTTTATTCGCTTTTTTAGCCCCATTAGAGTGCTTCTTTTCATTCTTTTCATTTTGAGTCACATCGTAGGTATCAGGGTTTGCACAACACATTATTATGAGTATCGTGAACAATAGAGTAACTTGAATGCTAATCGCCAACCATAACAATTTCCAAAAAGTACCATTACCCCAATTACCTCTGATCCTGTAGATACCACTGCCTATTCTGAACGCATCTTTAGCATCAGCCCATAGCTTCGTAGCAACACCTCCACCAGCTAGTAAAACGGCTAAAGACCCTATTGATAACACATAGGCATAGATGTAAAAGAACCTCCACTTCCAATAAAACATTGGGATAGCAAAGAGAACTAGCGCAGCTCCTGAGAGAACAATACCCACTAAAATTCCATAAGCACTAACTTTCAAACTTCTTCTATAATAAGCATTCCCAAAATAGCGAGCACGCAATGGGAACTCCAATTCATAAGTTCTATTCTCATTTAACAGGCTGTTTTCTGCATTTTGAAGATCTTGATAAAAAATAGTATATGGGTTCAATTCATCTATCGTTGAATCACCCAACTTTTGAGTTCCTGAACAGTAAGTTTGAATATAAACACCATCAACCACATCACCTTTACAATAACTTCTCAACCCAAAGGTATAGATCTGACTGAGACCTGATTCTTCAAGGGTCAAATGATTTGTTATATTCCAAAAATATTTGTTTGGGCCTATGAATCTTGAAAATGAAACATTTCTGAAATCAAACTTGAAAGTATAAATATCTTTGGTGAAGCTAGAATTTGTATCTTTTGAAGATGTCCCAACAAAAGCTAATGAACCAAGAATTGGGACTAAAGCGGCTAATGTGAAAATGTAGATTGAAACCAAGATTCTGAATAACATGTAATAGAACGTAGTTAATCTTTTGGGAATGGGAAGCACGACCTATCAACCTGGAGTTTCCTGAAGCTTATATACTTCTTGGACAGCCTTCCCACGTTATCACCTTGGTTGAACAAACATCGAAATGATATCATGAGTGATGAAAACAGAACACAGAACACAAAACTTATAGATTGAGTCGATCTTTTACCTTTTCCGTCAGCCAATCACGGTTCTCGTGTGTAAATATGTTGTACTCTGCTTTCCAGTGGGAATCTTGTTCTGGTTGATCGACGTTATGCAGTGACCAGTATTCAGCATCTTCCCTCGTTTTTGTACGACAAAGCGAAAACGTTTCCAGCTTCAAAACAACTTCACCAAGCCGATGGCCGACACCATGTTCTCTTATGGTCTAAAGTGCACTCGTCTTCTTTGTTGTACAACTTGTAGATGATGACCAAGTTTGACGTCATTTGTAGGTACTCGTTTTAACAATCTATGATTCTATTGTCACAACTTTTAGACCGAGATAAACTTTCAGGACCCTATGAGGCTGACGGATACACGATACACGAAACAAATTACAACAGCACATGTTCTCCGAAAGCCTGTTCAAATGCTAGCTGTGGAGAAAAGTCAGAGGGAACCATAGGTTTCTCACAAATCATCCTTTATCAATTGACTTCAGTATAGGCTCATGAGCTTTTTATGAAAATGTAGAACCATTATTGTCCAGCCCAATACAACTTCTGGTTATGAGGCCCTTTCCTGCCAAATCGGGATATTTCCATAAACAGATGAATTTCATTTTTGTGTGTGTCTCCTTTCAAAGTTTTTTTTCAAGGTGGATCAAGTTAAAACAGTTACACATTCTAATGATGTTATTCTCTTAACTCAACACTCAAAACATACAACGCTATAGTTCAAAATGGTGGATCAAGGTATGCATTTTCATAATCAATATTTTTAATTCATAAAAAAGTTCACGTTTAATCTAACAAATTCAATCTACAGGAACTCAGTTAGAGGCATACATAAAAGAACTATTTCAAACATTAGACAAACAATTCTCACCACAATTGAACTTAGATTCATACAAAGCACAATTTCTACCACAGCTTAAATTGAATTCACCAGTGATACTAAATGGAAATCCAATAGGTGGTAAATTAGCTTTTCAAGAACATTGGTTAAAATTCCCAGGATCTCAACACAATATAACTTCACTAGATTATCATTCAATCCCTGGTACAGGTACATTTGTTATAAACTTATCTGGTAAAGTCAGATTTGATGAAACTGGTAAGACTAAACTTGGTGAGACTGCTGATATAGGTGGCCCTGCACCTGTTCCTAGTATTGGAGGTGCTCCTAGAACCATTTGGGGATCATGGTTAGGTTTTAATGCAAATTTGATACTTGATGAAGCCGCTCTACAAAACCCAAATAGTGAAGTGATAAACTCCTTGAATTGGAAGATTGTTTACAGACCAGAAGATGCACTTGTAACGATATAGACTAAAAAGAAACCAAATTGATTGCATGGTAAAGAATAAATGTAGTAATGATAGTCATTCTACGTATGTGTGGACTTGTGAACAAAAAAAAAGCATGAATAACTATAAACTCTATAAATCATAAGCGAACGTGACAATTTCATAACTCCATAAAAAAAACCCTCAATGTTAAAAATAAAATCGTAGAAAAGTGAAGCAGCTTTCAATGAAGCCAATAAATTGTTTAAACAACATTTCTTTCTTGGTAACCCATAAATGGTTCTTTTTCAACTTCAACAACTTTAGTTCTTCTTGAAGCTGTTCTACCACAACAAATAGCAAAAAAGTTCAAGAAACAAGCAATCAACGCAACAACTGTAGCTGCCCAAATCAACCCATAAAATCTGTAATTACTTAAAGTACCGCTGATACCATACTCACTTGTAGCATCATTGAAATATTTCTTCACAATTGAATAAGCACCTGTTGAAGCAGCAGCACCAATACCTAGCCCTAAGAATGAAATAATTCCAAAGATTGTAGCGATACATGAAACAGCATGTGAGCAGAATGACAATAGAATTAAAACAGCAGTAACAAAAGATCCAACAACACCAATTATTGTAGTGAGAAAGATTATTTTGGAGACAATTTTAGCAGTCTTGATGTAATTTTCAATTTTATCTGGCAATTTCAAATCATTCATACTTAAGTTTGAATCCAAATCTTCACTTAAAATCTTGACAGGATCGAACAAATACATAGCTTTTGGACTTGAACAATTTTTCACTTGATAATTACCATTATCATTATCACCTTTACAATAACCCCACATACCAATTGAATAAATATCACTTAAACCAATATCACTTGCTTGTATGGAGACCCCAGAAAACACAGACGAAAGATTGATATCTGTGACATTCAATCTAAACATGTAGATTTGGTTGACTGGATTCATATTTTTTGTTGAACCAGCACAGGCTAAAGCACCCAAAACAAGAGCACCAATTGAGAAAATCAGCGGTATCAGCACAACAAAGAATCTACCACATGAAACCATTTTGTTTTTCAATAATTGTTAACTTTTTATAAGTTGTAAACCTGATTTAATTTGAATAATAAGCAGCGCGCTAAAGTGTAATGATTTGAGATGAGATGCAAATGATTAATATAAGAACGTTAGTTGTTGTTGTTCTTAGTTCAGTAACTATGATTCAACCAAATAGTAGAAACATAGATTGAAATGGGCAGGTAGTCTAATTTATATACTCAGATCAACTACTTTCAGTTTCATGTTTACTTTAGATCAAAACTTAATTAATGCACGCTTCTAATTTTAGCTACTACCAGCCTCCAAAAATATTTAGCCGGTACACTACAAAATTTTCGCGCCTGCTTATGTCATAATAGGCCCCGGTGTTTGGGCGAAGCATTCGTTCACCGCCAGCTAGTGACACATTTTTAAAATAGACTTCCAAGAGTTGTAGCGAGATGTCTGTCTGTTTCTAAATTTGTTTTGATATTTGAATTCATGCGTTGAGTATAGTTCAGTACTTGAACTTTGCTTGAAGATTGAAATGGTTACGCGCTGCTGGATATACAGAAGATTTTGGAATGCCGGGCTCGCTGGCAAAAAAGGTACACAGCTAGACTTCAGTGGTGATTCGTAAACAATAATATCGTAAGTGAGCTTTACAAGCTCCATTTGGCTCATTTGATAAATGATTGTTTGTGCTTTTGAATTTAACTTTGGCTCAATTGGAGCTTGCTTGGTCCCTTAACCCTGCAGTTTTGTATGTCCTCTTTCACGATTGTGCCTTCATCGTTATTTTTCACAAAGCGCTTCCCTGCTTGTAATTAGCTGGGCTGGAGCGAGGATCAAACCGCAGTTACATGTAATAATAGCTATAGACGAGTGATCTACTAGGCAAATTACATTGGCTTCGTCGTCCAAATGTAATCGATATCCAAAAATAGGTCTTGAGTCATGAATGGCACTCAACGTTTATTCTTGTGATCGAGAGAGTTCAGCAGTTCAATGTCCCCATGCTCAACAAGCTCGAGGTGGACGTGTAATAGACATTAATTATAGCTGAACATTTGCAAATTAACCGGTTTTCATTGTCTACAAACAGCTTCAAATCGAAATTACCACCAGATCACCTGGAATAAAAGCTAAGACGACACAATTGATTAAGATTTTATTAGGCGTCATAGTCCACTACGCTTGGGGTCAATGAATGGAATCAATACATCAATTCATCTAGACAATACATAACAAACCAAACAAAGATTAAAGGGCTTAAAACATCCGTTTTCTAAACCCATTAGCCAAATAAATAACAAAACAACAGGTGAAAACTTCAAACACAAATGTAATCCATATAAAAGAGAAACCAGAAGCCCGATTGACATTTGCAATACCAACATTCTGCCCAACTTCTGATAGCCTTAAAATAAACTCAAAAGTCAATGAACAAATCAAAAACCCAGTGAATAAATTGAGAAATGATAAGCTCACCATTGAAATCAAGAACCATTTTTTAACTATATAGCTCTGTGACATGCTCAATCTTTTCAAAACAAATTTATACTTGAGAACCAGTAGCAATATTGCAAAAGCTAATAAGACACATCCTATGACAAACTGTGAAACCGTTAAGAACCCCAAGCCTTTACTAAACTTTTGTAACAAAATTGCATAGTCAATGTATTCAACTGAATGATTTTCCTTGTTTGTGAATTGATTAAATCCTGTGATGGCTAACTCATAAGCAATGGCAAAACTGTCACCCATTATATCAACATTAGTTCTAGTTAATTCACCCAATTGAACGCCTGCATCCCTAACAAACACTGATAAAAGGTCTAAACCAAAACTTTTCATGCAAAAATTTCTTCCTTTTCTTGAACTAATACGACAGTAACCCAAAAAGTTCAACTGATAAAGAGTATTCACTGAAAATGTATCAATTACTTTTTCCTGATAATAGGTATCAAGCCTACTATTAATCAAATCTAATTCACTTGAGGAATCACCGAAATCCATGGCCAAATACGTTAACACTTTCAACGCCTCCTTAACAGTAACTAACGCAGTTTTTGCTGCAGGTGACTTATCAGTAATCTGAACAGTCAATTGAGGGAAACATGCTCCATTCTTATGCTGGCAGGAAAATAATGGGAAGCTGCTAAATATTAAAGCACAAACAAGTGATAATATCAACAAAAATATTGCCATCAAATATTTCATGGGGCCTCTTTTATCTTTAAGCAACATTGAAAATGATTCCTTCTCAGTGTGAGGTTTATCCAATATTCCAGCATCACGAACATGATTAAACTCGTCTGTACTATCATTTTCTTTTTGATACAACTGTGAAATCACCTCATCAATACTATTTGATCTAGCCTCTAGTAGCTTAAGTCCCGTTAAATCTCTCTCAGTGGTATTGGGAGCCACATTCCCATTGATTGTTGAACTGTTATCTTTTAGAGAGCCGTCTTCTGTGAGGTTTGCAATCTCTTGATCAAATAGCAAATGTTCTGGATCTTGTAATATAAGAGGGTTACTAGTGGCATGATGAGGCAGTAGTGGTTCTGGTGAGTTGTAGCTGGATACTGGTGATTTGGGTTTAGCGCTTTTTCCAAAAAAAGACATGAAATCTTGCTTGTTGTTCAACAATTGTCTATATTTAGCTTGAAACCTACTTTCTCCATATATCTCGCTCAATTGTGTATCTGGTTCATTCTTTGTATCCACTTCTTTCTCATTGTCTTTTGATGATTGAGGAAAGACGGATGCCTCAATTAGTGGAAATTCTGGGTGGCTAGGAAGAGGAGCATTCTCTGATTCTCTGAGTATAGAGGCGTCAGCTTCTTCTGGATCTTGGTCATCTGACATCCCAATGGTTGATTGATTCTTTCAAAGGCTAGTTGAGCTTTCCATTTATCTTCTGACGTTTCTGGTTCTATTTTTGTTGACTTTAATTTCTCCGGGAAAATAAACTAGCCACAAAACCTATAAAATTACCACAAAGCCAACCCGTAACAATAAACAACAAATGCTAACGCATACCTAGGGCTAATATCTAAAGGTTCCAGACCGAAAGATCTTATCATTTGATTTCAACAGTATCTCTTCTTCATTTGTTAAAAAGTTTGAAGGTGACGGAGTTGTTTCATCGGATTCTTCAACTTCTGCAGTAGTGACTTTATCTTTCCCAAATTTAAATCTCTTTGTTGAAGTTTTTGCTGGCTTTGCAGTGGTGACTTCTGTTTCATCTTCATCCCTGGTGTTTTGTAAAAACATCTCCATTTGACTTTCAACGTCTTCATCATACTCAAGCGCTGGTGGCGCGCACCATGTTGGACCGCCCCATGAAGTCATAGATAGTAGCACCAGAGAGAAAATAACCCATAATAAACCAAAAAATGTTGTACCTAATTTCAAAGTGAATCCATATGGTGATAACTCTTGACGGATGCTTGACTTGAATTGTAGGTAAATGACAGTTGTGGATATACAGGCGATAGCACAAGTAATGAAAGATGCCAAAGATAGACCTGAACTTATATGACCTATCAATTTCGAAATATCTGTACCATCATTTTTGAAACTGTAGTAAGCCAGCAATAACCCAATCAGTGCAAGTTGTGAAACAGCAGTAAATATTAAAAGCTTAGGTCCTGCATATGCCATGTTTTCTCTTTTCTTCAAATATTCGATATATTTTTCATTACCACCTGTATCACCATAGGCGTATTCCAAAATAATTTCAAAATGACTTTGAGATAACAAACTTCTATAATCAAAAAAATATGAATTCACTGGATGTGAACAATATGTGGTTCTATTGGAAATCTTGAGAGAATATGAATCACCTGTCAAATAATTCCCTTGTATTTTATAAGAATATGAAGTACGGCACCAGCTATATAATGAGGATGTGATATAATCCGGTGCATTTTCAACCTGTTTTTCAGCATATTGGGACAAGATCAAGATTTCAGAGGATGTTAACCCAGCACCAAATTGATCATCCAGCAACTCGTTATGTGAAAAACTTTTTCTCATGGCACTGAACAGACCTTTTGAAACATCAATTTTTGAAGTGTCCAATCTGACAACATATATGGATTTTGGGTTGTTGTGGGCTCCTACTAGTAACACTATGATCAAGAGGATGCTAAGGAATGAGGATATGAGTCTAACTGCCTGTGTAACTCTAGATTTGGTGTCCATATTGAGGACCAGATCAAGCACGAAGGATTTGGCCTCCCTGACTTTAGCCCCTACCAGTTTACGCTGTGACATCTTAGCATTTGTCATAGTATCTGCTTCCTTCATCCTCATTCTAACGTACTAAATTTAAATCTGAGCATCTCTCCCATCAAAAGATCTGCTCCTAGTAGAAATCCGAGTTTCCATGGTGATCCCGCAATCTGCCCCGTGCAAAACCAGAAGGAGAAAAGAAAAATTGTAAACAACAAACAGGAGCGCGCGTTCAATCAACAAGTCAACTCAAAGCTATCTGAGCTCCGTATCCCTCTCAATTCACAAGAACCAAGAGTGATTTTTTGCTGAAGGTAATCAACAAAAGCATGGCAACTACTAAGCCAAAGTTTGCTGGGTGGAGTTTCTCGTTCGACGAGCCTCAAGCCGCTGATAAAGGTTCAAGAAGATCTAGAAGATCTGGTGCTAGTGATTCCAAATTAATCTTAAGAAGAGATGAAGATGGGTTGGAAATCAAAGGTGGTGATTCTATTTTGGTGAACGACCCTGATGGTGGATTGCCATTGGTCTGTTTGGTTAGAGATGCTCAAATGGGGACTGATGACTATATTGTGCTTAGAGGGTTGAACTATCTTAGAAGAAATGAAGTTGAAAATGCACCTAAAGAAACCATTCCCCAAGAATTGTTCCTAACTGGTGTTGATGATAGGCTTTATGTTGAAGATATTATTGAGAAGGCTAATGTTTTGAACCTAGAGGAATTCAACAGTATCGTTATTGATGATTCCAACCAGGACAATACATTTTTATGCCGCAGAGGTTATGACACATATTACAAAATCTATAGTGATTATGTGGATATAAAAACAATTCAAAAGGGTATGATCAAAGATGAGGCCAATGAAGTCGAGATTTTGAGAAATTCTTTTGTTAAATCTCTATATAAAGAGAAAAAAGCACTTTCAGCTTCACCAAAAAAGGAACCATCACCAAAGAAAGAGACAAGGCCTAGACCTGTGACGAAACATCCAAAACCATCTACTAGAAAGTATGGAGAGACTCCAACTAAAAACGAAGCAAGAAGAGGAAGATTAAAAGAACATGTTGTGTCAGACTTTGAGGATGATGATAAGGATGATGAGGATGATGATGTGTTGGAACAAATTGAACCTTTTACGAGCCATAAAGATAATACTTCATCCAGTAGCGATGAAGAAGAAAGTGAAAGTGAGAGTGAAGAGGATTTATTTTCTGATGATGATGAATTCAGACCAAACAAAAGAAAAAGAGGTCCATCAGGCGCTAAGTATCAATCTAAGCAAAAGAAGAAGCAGAAAAAGGTAAACATTGGTCCAGCTTCATTAGCTAAATTACAACAAGCTCAGGGTGTTGATCAAGCAAAAAATGGTGACCAACCAGCCTTACAAAAATTCAAATCTAGCCTTGAAGCCTCTGCTGAAGCTTCTAAAAGATCACTACCGTGCCGTGAAGAACAATTTGATCAATTATATTTAAGTATTGAAGCTGCTATTCAATCTGAAACTGGTACTTGTGTTTACATCAGTGGTACGCCAGGTACTGGGAAAACAGCTACTGTTCGTGAAGTCATTAGACAACTTTCTAAACAATTCAATAAAAATGGTGAGAACAAATTCAACTACTTGGAAATCAACGGTATGAAACTATTGTCTCCACAATCATCTTTTGAATTACTATGGAAAAAATTAAATGGTGAAAAAGTTACAGCTTCCAATATTCAAAAAGAATTGGACACTTATTTTGCTGAAGGTAAAACTGAAAGACCATTAGTTGTTTTGATGGATGAATTGGATCAAATTGCTACTAAAAATCAAAACGTTATGTACAACTTTTTCAATTGGCCAACATATGAAAAATCAAAATTGATTGTTATTGCAGTTGCAAATACTATGGATTTACCAGAACGTGTTTTAACAAACAAAGTATCATCAAGATTGGGTTTATCAAGAATACAATTCCCTGGTTATACACATGAAGATTTGAAACAAATCATTCAAGCAAGATTAGAAGTGTTTGATGATTCAGATATTGTCTTGACAAAGGATGCTATTGAATTTGCAGCTAGAAAAGTTGCAAGTGTTAGTGGTGATGCTAGACGTGCTTTAAAAATATGTCGTCGTGCTGTGGAGATAGCTGAAGCTGATTATCATTCTGCTGGTAGACCATCTGGTAATTCTGATAAACTAAATGTTCAAATTTTACATATCAATAAGGCAGTAAACGAAATCACTAATTCTCCTGTGTCCAAATACATCACTGATCTATCATTTGTTGGTAAATTATTATTAATTTCAATTTTAACAAGAAAGAGAAAATCCGGCTTAGCTGAAAATTCATTGGGTGATGTCATTGATGAAGTTAAACAAATTGTTACTATGAATTCTGCAAAGGATAAATCTAAATTTATCATTGAAGGTAAAACCATTTTGAACATTTTGTATGATGATTTTATTATTAGACCAAAAGGTTTTGCTTATGTTTTGAATGAATTGATTGATGCCGGGATTGTTCTTCAGCAGGATTTGAAATCTGAAAGACAATCACTGATTAAGTTGAACATTGCTGATGAAGAAATCACCTCAGTTTTTAAAAAGGAAAAATCACTACAATACTTTATAGATCTTGTGACATCTGAATTAGAAATTGAATATTGTGGCTAACTCACTAGGTATTTGCTCCACTAATTAGAGTAAGGTGGTGAGTTGATTATTATTGTTTGGTTTATATTTGAAATCTGTTTTTCTACTATTAATTTGGTTTTCCGTTATCTTCCCATTTATATAACTGCTTTGTACTATTATATTGTATCATTATTACTAATTTTATGCTAAATTGAATGTTATAGATCTTTGTAAAGCAGTATAGGTTCACCAACATTTGAAATCTCTGGGATGCTAATCTGAAGATCAAATGCACTGCATGTTAGAATCTTGAAAACTTTTTGAACATTAATTGAATTACTTGATGAAGTGAATATCAGACTTGATTTCATAGCCTTTGCATATTTCAAACTTTGAGAAGTCACTTCCTCTTGGTAGCTTTTTGGCATTTCTAAGAACAAATCATATTTGGTACCCACCAACATGGGTATAGCTGTTTTATTTTGAGCTCTAACAAGCTTAAACCATTCTTTAATACTTGAAAGCGTTTGTAATTTTGTTAAATCAAATAAAAATACGACTGCAACAGCACCATCTGTAGTTAACGGTAACATGTTTACAAATTCTTGAGCACCACCTAGATCGTAGACTGAAAACTTGATATCTGTTGTGCCTAATTCAATGCTTTTCTCCATGAAATTCACACCAAGGGTTTTTTTGTAATCTTCATCGAACGAATTGTTGACATATTTCACCATCAGAGAGGTCTTTCCAATCTGTGAATCACCAATCAGTGCAACTTTGACTTGAACTCTAGACATACTGTTGTTAGTGTTTCAGTTGACAAGTTAAGGAGAAGAATTTGTACTCACGCATGTCTAATTTGATGATTATGAAGAGGCGGCACTGGAGGTGTCGACATGGCTTAGCGACGTATATTGAGGGATGCTTAGCAGAATCCGGTTCCTTTATCAAATCAAAACATGGGACTTAGAATATCAATGTTTACGTTTTGTACGTAATCAGCTTAGGGTTTCCAAATGCGGTAATTCTCTAGTCACCTGATAAATAATGCTTGGTGTTCAGGTGTTCTTTAAAGCGTGACTGTGACTTCTCTCCCATCACAACAAAACATCCGGTACACCCACTCCCAGCACCACGCAAAAAACAGACGCTGCCAATTTTCACCACTGGCTGTTCTGGGTACGCGCCACACCATAGTGAACGCTTTTTTTTTGGGCCTTCGCTGTGTTTGGGTTTGGGCAGCGTACTACCGCTTGGAGCCTGGTCTCTCATAAAAATTTCAACACTCTTTTCATCAAAAGTTACAATACTACTATTGAAAGAAGAAGTACAACACACTTATTAATAACAACAAGATGGCTGTTGGTAAAAATAAGAGACTTTCCAAAGGTAAAAAAGGTCTTAAGAAGAGAGTTGTCGATCCATTCACCAGAAAAGAATGGTTTGATATCAAAGCTCCATCAACCTTTGAAAACAGAAACGTTGGTAAAACTTTAGTCAACAAATCAACTGGTTTGAAAAACGCAGCTGATGCTTTGAAAGGTCGTGTTGTTGAAGTTTCATTAGCTGATTTACAAGGTTCTGAAGATTACTCTTTCAGAAATGTTAAATTAAGAGTTGATGAAGTTCAAGGTAAAAACTTGTTGACCAACTTCCACGGTATGGATTTCACTTCAGATAAATTAAGATCATTAGTTAGAAAATGGCAAACTTTGATTGAAGCTAACGTTACTGTTAAAACTTCAGATGACTACGTTATCAGAGTTTTCGGTATTGCCTTCACCAAACGTCAAGCTAACCAAATCAAAAAAACCACTTATGCTCAATCATCTCACATCAGAGCTATCAGAAAAGAAATGGTTAACATCATCACCAAAGAAGTTCAAAACTCAACTTTAGCTCAATTAACCTCAAAATTGATTCCAGAAGTTATTGGTCGTGAAATGGAAAAAGCTACTAAAGGTATCTTCCCATTACAAAATGTTCACATCAGAAAAGTTAAATTATTAAAACAACCAAAATTCGATTTAGGTTCTTTATTAGCTTTACACGGTGAAGCTTCATCTGAAGAAAAAGGTAAAAAAGTTGCTGGTGGTTTCAAAGATGAAATTTTAGAAACTGTTTAAATTGACTTGAACTTATAACACAACAAAAAAAACTATTTGTAATTTCTTAGATTATTGACTGTAGTGATTTTGCATTGATTATCCTGGAATTGTATGTATCTAACTTTAAGTTTTACTATTATCAACTTTCCATTGTTCGAAACTTTTTTAATTTTTTGGTGCTTTCAGATCAATGATATACCAATTACCAACTTATTCTCAACTTAGGCGCTATCATCAATTGACCTTTCTCATCCAAATCGAACTCTCCCTACTTTTCACTACAATTAACACTTATCAATCGAAAACCCCAAACTATCTATTCTATTAGAAATTACAAATAAAAACACAAACTAAAACACCAAAAAATTCAATAATAATAATATATGTACAAGTCATTAAAGTCATGAAGAACTTTTATAACTTTTCACACATCAACAAACAAAAAAATGGACATAGAAAAAACACAAGATATGCTCAATATGATCTAGATGAATACTCAAACAACCTAGTTGAATAAACGTTTTTCATAAGAATGTAATGAATGAACACCACCTTCTAATTGTGATGATGGAGTTCTGTATTCAAATCTAACTTCACCGTCATTGGTTTGTTTTTTCAATTCTTCAACAGATTTAACACCAATATCTTGACAAGAATGTTGTAAACCATTGTACAAGTATGGAATATATTTCTTGATTGAACCTTTATCAACGACTGAACCTGAAACACCTTGAGCAACAAAGACAGCATCAGATTCTGAGAAATATCTTGAAGTGGAAGCATTACCTTGAACATCGGTTTTTTGCATAGCTTCAATAGAACCCATACCTCTGTAAGCTTTTAAACGTTTACCATCACGGTAAAAGTAATCACCTGGAGATTCAGTAGTACCAGCCAACATACCACCCATCATAACACAAGAAGCACCTAAGGCAACAGCTTTAGTGATATGACCAATGTTTTGGATACCACCATCAGCAATACATGGGACACCAAATTGGTTAGCAAATTGAGTGACACCATAAACAGCGGTACCTTGAGGTCTACCACAAGCCATAACTTCTTGAGTAATACAGATGGAACCTGAACCCATACCAATTCTTAAACCATCAGCACCTGCAGCGATTAAAGAAGCAGCTTGTTCTCTAGTAACAACGTTACCAGCGATAACTTGTAATTCTGGGAAAGTTTCCTTGATGTATTTGATCATATTCAATTGGAAAACAGAGTTACCTTGAGAAGAATCTAAAACAACAACGTCTAAACCAGCTTCAACCAATTTTTGTAAACGTTCTCTATCAGCATCTAAAGTACCAATAGCAGCACCACATAATAATTGTTTTGAAGTGGCGGATTTAGAAGCATTTGGATAGTTCAAGTTTTTTTGTAAATCAGTTCTTGATAATAAAGAAACCAAGTTACCTTCAGAGTCAACAATTGGTAATTTACCTTTTTTAGATTTTCTCAAGATTTCGTTAGCTTCTGATAAAGTAACACCTTTTTGACCAGTAACTAAATCAGTAGTCATAACATCAGAAACTTTTGAATCATCTTCTTCATGGAATTGAATATCACGAGAAGTTAAGATACCAACTAATTTACCTGGGACTTTACCACTTTCTATGAATGATTGTTAGTTTTCCAAAATCTTGATTATTATCTTGTTTTCCAATATTCCCAAAATGATTATTAATTGTCAGAATATAAATTGTTTCCCCACGATCGTTTGATCGTTATCGGTAGAACGAAAGTTATTAATTTAAGAAAATCATCATTGTAAATGTTAAAAAAAGATTGGGTGTTTCATAAATCATTTTGGGGAGATATGTTAGTGGAAAATGCTAAAAAAACTTACCAGTAACTGGGAAACCAGCAAAACCTAATTGTTGTTTCAAAGCTTTAACTTCACCAATGGTTTGGTTTGGACTTAAGACGATTGGATCGTTAATGAAACCATTTTCGTATTTCTTAACTTTCTTAACCATTTCAGCTTGATCTTCAGCGGTACAGTTATGATGAATAATACCAATACCACCTAATAAAGCCATATGAATAGCCATTTCAGATTCGGTGACAGTATCCATAGGAGATGAAACAAATGGAGTCTTTAAAGTGATTTTCTTGGTCAATTTTGATTCTAAAGAAACAACACTTGATGGGAAATCAATTTTACCTGGTAAAACTAACAAATCATTGTAAGTTAAACCACCTCTAGCAACAGAATCCATCAATTCATGGACACTTAAACCATCTTTACGGTCATAAGTTTTCAAGTGTTCTAAAGCGGTAGCTGGGTCTCTGAATGACATGTTGTTGATTGTGTGAGAGTTATAAGTATTGGGGCAGTTGCCAGATTGCCAGAAAAAGAGAAACTTTAGAAGTGGTTGAAGTTGATTATGGTGAAGTGTGTCTGTTTATATAGACGAAAAATTTTCCTGCAAAAAGTGTTGCACGCTGCACAAAAAAAAAATTTTAAAGAGCGATGAGATTTGAATAAGCAGGGAAAAGAAATCAGATGGGAGAATCGATGGAGTCGAGATTAGAGGTGCAAGTGGTTAGAAAGTGGTTATTTTGGGTTCTTTAACGTGTTCTTTGGGTGTGGTTTACCCCTGGATTGGAGCATTGTGTGTAATATTGTTTAGTGGATGGCTTATTAATGAACCTTCATTTTGACACTATAATCAGAGTCAAATCTATGGACTCGAGCTTATTATTATGATTGAGGTCTTGAGAATGCTTTGGATGCTGAATATCGTAGTAGAGATCACAGTATCATTATCTGATCCAACCCTAATCAAAATAGATATCGAATAAAGGCTAATAAGTATGATCGAGGAATATTTGTGTGCAGTTTGAGCTCAGTCGTTAAGCCTCTCGCAGAACCTCTGATAAAGATCTCTATTGCTCTGACCACAACAAGACCACAGTCAGCAAGTCTGCAAGAAACTAGAATTCAAATATTCCAACCAATTGCCTCTCAACAGCAAACATCTTTTCTCCTTGTAATTTTCAAATGATCTCCAATCATCAATTTGGACCTTATTCACAGCCTTTATTCTGTCTGCCATCGCTACTCGTGTCAGCTAGACCGTGTGTTTTTGAAAATTGTAAACAAATAAACATCTTGATTGTTTCCACAGCACAAGACCAATTGTCAACTCAGCTAAGAAACACTTTCTACTTGTGTTTGTACTCACTTGGCTACTACCAATAACATTCAATTGATTTCAGCTGCTTAAAGTTTGTTGTTGACAAAAATTAGCTACCGCGATGAGCTTTCAAAGAAATGGTTTTGGCGACAACCAACAAAGAGCGCCTTATCCAGATACAGAGCTAGCATGGGATCCAGTGGAGTCTCTTGAAGAATTCAACAAATCAACGTACTCATCGTACATACAGCACTTGGACTCTGTGCCCTTGGATACAGCACCACCAATACCTGGTCCCCCATTACCCACGAGACCTCCTCAACATATAATTGACCAACATATATCAAGTATCAATCAAAAAGAACAATTTCAATCATTTCAAAGGACTCCATTCATAAATACCAACACTGCTCCCAACTCAACTTCATTACAATCAACGCCTTCTACAAGTCGAGTAAGGGGACCAAGACAATTACCAAACAAATTTTCAAATCCAAATCTATCAGCTTCAATTAACTCAAGCCCTGGTTATGGCGTAAGGCAAGAATGGCCACAAATTAATTATAATCCTGGAGGATTCAATACTCCTCCACGTCCTGACCCATTCAATAGCTCACCTCAAAGAAGCATGCCCAACTCTTCGCCCTTTATGAATCAGAATGAATCAAGCTTCATGAGCTCTCCAATACAGATACAACCATTGAATTCATCACCAGTACAGCAGATACACCAAAGCCCTATTACTGGACCTCGTCCGTTTCCATTTTCATCTCCATCATACAATCAACAACCCCCATCGCCAACCTCTCAAAGAAGATTACCATTGAAGGTCAATACTATAAGCAATCAGTACTCTATACAAAATGACACTAGCTTTATGGACTCTCCAACTTCTGCTTATACTCAAAAATTACCTGACATTCCAACGTTGACACCTTCCACTATGCAAGAGTCGCCAGTTCAGTTTAACACTGACCAGCAACGAACTTCAAGAAACTCACCTTCACCAACCAAAGGTCTTGCTGGTCCTAGATTAATGCCATCCATGTCATCCCATTCAACTTTAAAGATATCACCATCATCCTCACCAACAAAAGTTGATTATTATGACCATAGAACTAGTTGGAATTCCGCATACTCATTAAACATCATACCTGCGGATGAGAATGATGATTTGGATAGCATCTCAGCCCCTCCAAGTGCTGTTGAAATAGTTCCTGAAGTTCCTAATGTTTCCACAATTCCACCAATCCCAAGAACTACCTCATTATTTGACCCTGATTCAATACCTATTCCAGATGAACCACCCCAAAGAGGGTCAACAATAACAAGCAGGCAAACTGGTGGCGAAAAGGGGCTCCCACCATTACCAGACTCTTTGAATTTACCTTCGTTACCTTTCTCTTCATATTCATTAATGGCTTCTCACTTTAAAGAATGTGAAAATATTCAATTATTATCAGAACTTTTCAAATGGTCAGTGAGTTTAGTTAATGAGTGGTCTGAAGGTTTGAACATTTCCAAAAATGAATACAAGAGGTCTTTGAAATTGATGATTTCCAACAATTCTCCAAAGTTGAACAATTTTATAATTGATGCAAATATTGAAACCATATTGAATTCTTTTGAAAAGCAAAATGCTATTTACTTTGATCATAATGACAACGTTCATTTTATGGACAATGTAAATGTCAGTGGTGTATTACCTCAACTTACAGGATGCTATTCAAAAGCTCATAATATTAGCTCATTATATCAGTGCTATTCACCACGTTGTTCATTAACCATATATCAACCACCAGTCCCAACAGTACCTGCAAAAGAATCAGGAGTAGCCAAATTAGGTGAATGGACTTCATATTGGAACATCACTGAACAAGATTTAGTTGAAATGGATGAATCTGAAGTTAAGAAACAAAGTCACATTTTTGAATTAATAAGACAACAACAAAATATCATTAATTTAGGTGAAATCCAAATCAGAGAGTATGGACAATCTTTTAAAAATGCAAACCCTCAATTATTACCAGATGTTTCCAAGTTCTATAATGATGCTTTCAATTCTGTCAAACCACTTATTGATATTCATAAAAAGCATTTATTGGAGCCTCTGTTGCACAGAATCAACACACAGGGGAAATTCATTACAAACATTGGTGAACTTTTCTTAAACTGGGCTACTGCTGCTACTGTTCCATATTTAAAATATACTGAGAAATTGGCAACAGTTCGTGAATTGATTAAATTTGAGAAAAATCGTCAATCAAGATTTGCTGAGTGGTTGTATAAAGTTGATCAAAATCCTAAAGTTATGGAGGCATCTTTGGATCACAATAGAATTTTCTTTAGTGGGTTTATTGGACATACTCAACTGTTATCACTGGCTTTGAATTCAGTTTATAAGAAAACAAGGGAAAATGATATGGATCATGTTTTGTTAAAGAATGCAATAGATGAAATTAATAAACTGAATAGGAAAATTGATGAAATGCAAGATTCTGCTTTGCAAAATCGTCATTTGAGACTTTTAGCTGGCCGCTTAACCTGGAAAAATAATGTTTTAGCTAATGATTTGAAATTAAGTGAGCCTAATAGAAGATTGATCAAAGAAGGTGCTGTTACAAGGAAAAGAGAAAAATGGATAACTTCAAACTATTATTTGATCTTACTAGATAATTACTTGTTGATCACAGAACCTCAAAAGGATGAGCATTATAAAATTTCTGAAAAACCAATCCCAATTGAATTTTTACAAATTGAAACCAAAAATTTTGCATCAGCTTCTAATGTTAACCTAAGTACAGAAGGTGAAATTTATCCATTTAAAGTTAGATATACTGGTCAAAATGTTTCATACACTTTTTACGCAGAAACATTAGCTGAAAGAGATTCTTGGTTCCATTCAATAAATCAAGTTCAATCTAAAAAAGTTAAGAATTCAATATTTGAACCTTTTAAAATATCAATTTTAGCTGACCAGTTTGCTTATGAGGAAGGAGAACAACCACAAAAATTACCATTATTAGCTGCTGGATCCAATATTGATGTTGCATTGAAGTCAATTGAAGCTGATAAATCTACAGACGTAACTAGACCATTGATGTTCAGTGAAGTTTCATGTGGTACTACATTCCATTTCCAAGATCGTTCATTCTATGTATTGGGGTTGAATTTCGGTTTATACATCACTGAAGCTGAAAACCCAAAGGGCTGGAAAAGGGTATTAGAGCTGGGGAAAATCACCCAAGTTGAACAATTGGATAGTTTGATGGTTATATTGGCTGATAAGGCACTCTACTACTTCAACATCGTCTCATTATTGTTGAATTATTATGACCAAAATTATGATGGACAAACGGTTGGTGAGAAATTAAGTAAAAGGGATGTCTCTTTTTTCAAAATTGGAACTTATTATAATACAAAATTATTATTTTTGATGAAGAGTTCAATTTCCACTGTTGGATCAAGATTTAAAGTTTACACTCCAATCATGGATACGTTTGGTGTTTTCCAGTATTTCCAACTATACAAGAGATTTCAATATGCCTCAGATTGTTTTGGTATCTCTATTTTCAACAGTATGTTTGTGTTACATACCTCTAAAGGTTTTGAAATTTTATCATTTCAAATCCTTAATGAATCACAACCAATTCCAAAATTTATTGAATACTTGAAAAAACCTAAGACAGAACTAGATTTAATTAAAAAGAAGTTGAATTCGTCAAGCGCCAAACCATTAACAATGGTTAAAGTCTTTCAAAAACCACAATTTTATTTGATTTATGATTCATTTGCTATAGTCATTGATACTATCGGTCAATTAATTTCAAATAACTTTATTTTCCCATTCAAATTCAAATGTTCAAAAGTTTGCTTAAAAGAAAATTTTTTGATTTGTATTGGTGAAGATATTGTGGAGATTTTTGATTTGAATTATGATGATGCTCTTGGGTTTCAAAAATTTGACCCTGTTCAAATAATCACAGGGAAGGATATTAGGTTGATTGATGGTATTGATGCAAAGATTGTTATGGCGCATCCAAAGATTACAGGAAGACAATTAGTTATAACATTGGACAGAATTTTATGAAGTAAGGACACTTTTTTATTACTCGGACAATTGTAGCTACAAGCTTTGTTCAAAATTTATCTGTATAAATTAAAAATAACGGGGTTGATTCCCATGAGAACTGAATAAATTCATCTATTTTAAACTGAATGGACTATCCAATGCGTTTGAAAATGAATTTTGACGACTATTTATATGAATGGAATTTCTTGGAGTGTAAGATTGTCTTGAGTTGATTGGAGTCAATTGATTTGGAGAATTGAAACCTGATACAGATTCATGTCTTGGACTATTCAACCCTGAATTTCTTGAATCCAACGTGTTTAGCGTTGTTATACTTGATGTACTATTCAGTCTAAATCTCTTCATCAGGTTATTAACATCAACTAAAGGCTTCTCCACTAATGGTTTTTTGATTTTGAACAATCTAATAAAAGTTCCATTCCATATACTCAACTGTAGAATTGAATTATCAAATTGATGAGCGATTGGAGTGGCACTTGATTTCCAGCTGAACCCCCAATTTGATGCAACTTCTTTAATGTTTGAAATTCCTGAACTTCGTTTATTAAACCAAACATTTTGTGAATTATCTTTTGTATTGTTTTGGTAAAAGATATCACCCCATAAAATGCTTTCATACCAACCTAATGACATAGCTGACCAAGTAAATTTTAATGTTTCAAATTTAGTCTTTGGTAAAAATTCACTTGATGCAATCTTGGCAATTTTGGAATCATAGTCTTTAATACTTTCAATCTTTATCAGGTTCTCCACAATCTCTGATTTTGTTGTTTCTTGGATATTTGGAATTTCAAGTTTTATCAACTCTATAGTTTTCAAAATAACAATTAGTGATTTGTAACCAGCCCAAGTTTTAGTTAATGGAGCATCTAACGGTAATTTGGATTTGGCTTTAGATGACATACCGGTTGGAGGTTTTGGTCTAAGAATTTCTTCAAATTCATCTTTTGAAGAGTTTCTAGTCTTATAATTGTTATTATCATAGTCATCATTCTCATCACCAGGACCACCAACAGTAGACTGAGATCTTGTGTCATCTGTACCTGGACTCTCAGTTCTATTATCACTTTCTTCATTTTCTTCATCATCTTCGTGTTCATTCTCTTGAATATCATCTAATTCTGTTTCTAATTTTAATGATTCTATAACTGATAATAAGTTTTGAAAAATCTGTTCATGTTTGGTGATTACATATAGTAAAGTTCTTGATTCCTTATGATAACGACAACATGAATGCGCAATAGCTCTAATGACCAATGCCAATAGATCTAACTTCAAATTGTTATTCAGCACTGACGATGTACTGTACTTAGCAACAACATTGACAATTGATAAACTTGAATGGTATGACAGGATACTTTTGGTCTTGTAATGAACTGTTGGAGTTTCAAGTTCTTTGATGGGTATCAAATTGTAAAGATATTCAAAGAAATTTGGTGTAATAATGGTATCAAACTCATCATTAATCAATGTGTTGCAAATTTGGATAATAAGAAAATCTCTATATGTTAAATTATTTGGTTGATTTGAGGTACTTATCTTGTAGAAATTTGGTAAATGGTTATGATAATAATTTGGATTTATTGGTGTTAACAATTTAGCAACAACTATTTCATCTGAAGTCAGATAAATCATAAAGTAACAAATTATTCTAATCAAACTTGATTTCCACAGCTCAAATCCTTTATAATGTTTAATGTAATATAATAATGTTACCAACAGTTCAGGAATCTTTTTGGAATAAACATAATTCTTGAAATTTTTATTACATTGAATCAATTCCCATAAAAAGATAACAATTTCAGGTGTCCAAGATGACAATGCAGGTAATGAAGAGTTTGCAGATGATGACGTTGTTGATGAATTCAATCCGCTTGTTAGGTTTGATGCTGAAGTTGGTGAAAAGTTTGATTTCAGTAGATTAAATGGATTCAACTCATTCTCCACAGCTTGATCCATTGGCTTATTCAAAAAATTGATAAAAGAAACAAATATAAAACTCAATTCATTCTCTTTATGCAATCTTCCAAAATATGACCTCACCAAATTATGAGCTTTTTCATTATTACTCAAAATGTTTAATGAATATAAAAATTTGGTATCACTTGTAGGTAATGGATAAACAATCATTGTTGTTAATAACTGTAGAGCAAAACTAACAAGATTTCTTCTCAATGCAACATATTTATTCCCAGAATATTGACTCTCCGTATAAACCATACCATTATTATCATTATCAGCTTTACAAGACCGACAAACCAAGTTTAACAACGAACAAATAAACGTTAAAAATTTCAATCTTCCAATAGTAGAGACAAGAACTGTTAAAAATCTTGAACCTGTTGAAACGATCTGCTTTGGATAAGTGTATAAACCTTGAGACACCAAAGTTAATATCAATCTTAGGACCTCTAATCTATTTGAGTCAATTTCTGGATCTGGATTCTCATATTTCCCATTTGAACCAATACCGATTTCCCAAATTGTGAATTCAACACCTTTAGCATGGGACTCAGTTAATGTGAAATTATTCATAAATAACAAATCCACTAAAGTATGGATCAATTGCTCACCTAAAGGCTTAACCAATTTTGAAGGAGCCCCAACATTAACATCTGTAGAAGAAGGTGATTTGTTGATTGGTAAGTTTATATTAGCTTTTGTACTTGAATTGGAAAACGATGAATTATTCGTATCTGTTGTGAAAGAACCAACTGTGGCATTTGAACTAATTGCGCTATTACCATTGAAAGGATCTTTAAAGTCAATATTATTATAACCCAAGTTCCAAAAAATGTTATTAATATCTTCTTGTAATTCAGTTTTCTCAAAAAGAAAGGGTATCAATCTTGTCAAAGTTCTTATACAATTTAATAATTGCTTTGTTGAATTTTTGGAATAATGAGGGAAATTTTTAGAAGTACTAATTTCAATCAATTTTATGGTAATTATTCTAATCAAGTTCAAGAAGTTTGTCTTATTGGTATCTCTTATTGTCTTGATATCAGAAAATGTTAACAGATTGAAGATATCTTCGGCATTTTCAGGATCATTCCAAAACATTTGCCAATAAGGATCATTAGTTGGAATTGGAGGTTCTGAATCATTTCCAGCCAATTTGAACACCTTGTTCTTGAATGATAATTTTGATTCAGCAGCGCCCATGATCTCAGTTGTTTATAGTATCATGAAATAGGTGGAGTGAAGGTGTAGTTGTTGTTGATGATGGAGGATATTGATGGATGGTGATGGAAGGGATTGTAATAGTCAGCAACGTTTCAACCAAAAGAGCGTGCGATAGATGGATTCCAGTTGTTTATCAAAGACCTAGTAGTTTTCTAAGATGGCGATCTTTCACCAGTTGCTCAGCCGCTGTTTATGATAGTTTCCAATTGCTCGATTGAGGCCTCTTATTGTTGGGAGCTGCCTTGATGAAATCAGCTTTTTTTTTGATTTTTCATTTATCAGTTTGAGAAGAAAAAAAATGTGTCCAAATCACAATTAAGGACAATAACGAAACTACATCGCAATAAAGTAATTTACTACTGCTCAATTCCCAAGTAAATAATCAATGTATTGTTATTCAAATTATATGTAAAGAAAAATTGTACCCTTTGTTCCCCTTTCTGTTTTAAAAAAAATTGGTTGTATGATCGTAAAAAAATTAGACGTTAAAAATAGTTGAAAAAGCAGCAACATCACCAATCATTATCAACACATTCGAATCTTCTTTTACTTAAAGCTTCTTTGTTTGTAGTTAAGACGTTTTCAATGTTGTTTAATCTGACATCCAAATTGTTTTCCCATTCTTCAAAACTGGATCCAAATGATGAAGATGTAGCGTTCGATAGTAAAGGAGGCACAACCACATTTGAAGGTAATGGAACTCTTTGGAATGGTGGGAATTGTTGTTGTTGTTGTTCTTGTTGTCTTGGTTCTTGTGGGAAGGTATTGTTACTGGTTTGATAACCGTCAGAAACAGCTTTTCTTATTCTCATTCCAATGGTTTGTAGGTCATATTGATGAGGATATGCTTCACCAGATTGTTGGCTTAGATTGTGATTTAGTTGTCTTTTAACTTGCGACATTGTGATATATTGTAGATTTTATTGTATGGAGCTTTGATTCTGTCAAATTTAGCAGATGATCTCGTATTTATTTGTTTGTTTATTTGTGCTTTTGGGTTCTCTGGTGATGCTGTTCACAAGTGCAAGTGCCTTTGAATTGAAGCATTTTTGGGGAATTTTGGTGACTTTTTTTTTTCCTGTATTTGATTCTTTCCTTTTTGGGCGAAAAATACAAATCGGGAAGATATTAGTCACATGATAAAAAGTTACGTACATATAATTTGAAGCAAAATACATGGAAGAAATATGAATATTTTCTTATTAATACTCTCCAAACCTTTCTCTTTCGAATAATACCTAAAACTTTCGGTTTTCGTAGACTTTTAATGGAATCATAATTTTTTTCCAATTTTTAAGCGTTCAGCCCACGTCCTATCGTTTAATTTAACTTCAAAAATGTGAATAGAAAAATTAGATAAAATAATTTTTTGGTCAAATTTTGAAATATTTTAATATTTTTGATTAAAGAGAAAAAGAGAGAATAGCATGCACAGTTTTAATAACCTTACTGACTCTTTAGTTGACGAGATATATTAGATTGAATAGAATTCTGCTTACGTAATCTTAATTGTAAATTCATCAAAAATGTAGATAATAAGTGATATGCAACAGGTATGATTTATTTTTTAGATTGAAGATAATACAAAAAGCAGAATTATCGCCATAAAGTTTTTTTCAAACATCCAGTAACCAATTTGCCTTCCTGAGGCAAAATCAAAACTGCGAATTATCGAGAATTTGAGTATAATAATATATTCGCGAATTCGAGATTTTTCTTTATCTTTTGCCTTGGACGTGTTAGAAAAGACAGCTAAAGAATTTGAAAGTGATCAAACGAATCGATCAAATCATACCTATGAATGGAAGAGAGAAGAAATGACGATAGAAATAAATTGGAAGAGCTTTATAAAAAAGAACGAAAACTTGATGATTGAAAATCTCACTAAAAATTTTCACTGATTTCACTAGTATTTTAGTGAAAAAAATAGAAAACCCAACTAAAATCACCAACAACACCACCAAAATTGATCAATTAAAACATGAAGCTAAATATCAATCACCAACATCACTTTCAATTTATTCAAACTTCTTTAATTTCTCCACGGCAAAATTCCAGCTTCATTTCTCGCACCTCTCCACAAACGGCAATTTTCCTGATTGGGCCATTTCTCGATTCGCTCTATTTATCACTTAATTGAAAATATGTCAATTCCAACCTCTATGCACTGGTAATAGCGAATACGAACAACAATCAACAATCATCAATATAAAACCATCATTTCCTACTTTCAAGACTCTCTTCTTTCTATTTTACCATAATCATACAAAACAACAACAACAACCATGAACTTCAACATCTCCTCAAAAGAAGCTCAACAATTAGAAGAAGAATACTCTGCTCATAATTATCATCCATTACCAGTTGTCTTCCATAAGGCTAAAGGTGCTCATGTTTGGGATCCTGAAGGAAATGAATATTTAGATTTCTTGAGTGCTTACTCTGCCGTTAATCAAGGTCATTGTCATCCAAAAATTATTCAAGCTTTAATTGATCAAGCTCAAAATTTAACCCTAAGTTCAAGAGCTTTTTCAAGTGATGTTTTCGGTTTATTTGCTAAATATGTCACTGAATTCTTCAATTATGAAATGGTTTTACCAATGAATACAGGTGCTGAAGCTGTGGAAACTGGGTTAAAATTAGCCAGAAGATGGGGGTATGTTAAAAAAGGTATCAAACCAGATGAAGCTATTATTCTTGCCGCTGAAAATAATTTCCATGGTAGAACTTTAGGTATAATTTCAATGTCTACAGATCCTGATGCAACTACACAATTTGGTCCATTCTTACCAAAAACTGGTCCTTTAATTCCAGGAACCAATAAAACTTTAAGATATGGTGTTATTGAAGATGTTGAATTAGCTTTCAAAAACGCTGGTGATAAAATCGCAGCTATCTTATTGGAACCAATTCAAGGTGAAGCTGGTATTGTTGTCCCACCTCCAGGTTATTTGGAAAGAGTTTCTCAATTATGTAAAGAATATAATGTTTTGTTCATTTGTGATGAAATTCAAACTGGTATTGCAAGAACAGGGAAATTATTATGTTATGAACATTCACAAAATGTTAAACCAGATATTGTTTTGTTAGGTAAAGCTATTTCAGGTGGTGTTTTACCAGTTAGTGCTGTTTTATCATCAAAAGAAATCATGTTGACTTTAGAACCAGGTTCTCATGGTTCAACTTATGGTGGTAATCCATTATCTTCAAGAGTTGCAATTGCTGCTTTAGAAGTTGTTAAAGATGAAAAATTAGTTGAAAGATCAGCTGAATTGGGTGAATTTTTGAAACAAGAATTAATCAAATTACAAAAAGAATCTAATGGTATAATCAGTGAAGTTCGTGGTGTTGGTTTATTAAGTGCTATTGTTATTGATTCTTCAAAAGCTAACGGAAGAACCGCTTGGGATTTATGTTTATTAATGAAAGATCATGGTGTTTTAGCTAAACCAACTCATGATCATATTATTAGATTAGCTCCACCTCTAGTTATTAGTAAAGAAGATTTATTGAAAGGTGTTGAATCCATCAGAAGTTCATTAGTCAAACTACCAACCGTTGAAAAAGCAAGTCATTAGATGATAACTTTTCCATCGATGTATATATATAAAATAAGTTTCATTTCTTATTTATAAGATTGATGCCTGTAGAATATTTGAGTTATTTATATGCTTATAAGGGAAAAAGTGATGCCAGATATCGAACACATCTTTTCAAAAGTTTATGATAAACTATTCAACATCTAAAGAGTATCTGATATTATAATTTGTTACTCAGTCGCGTTATGCCTTCGTATTTGAAGTGATCATAACAATTGTTGAAAACTCTACAAGATACTAACATTTCCAAAAAATTGAAGGATTGATATAACTCACAAAAGTCTTTAATCAAAACTTTATGCCTAGTCAATCAATCTCTTATTATTCATTTTATATATCAAAGTACGTCTTTGACTCAATAATTCAATAAACCTAATATTTGAACCCACAATGTCAAATACTGGTAATATTGAAATATCTTCAAAGGTCAATGAAGGTCCAAAATATTCAACATTTAAAAATCAAAATGTATCAAGCTAGGAATATCAAGAGACAAACATCAACTTGATCACAGATGCCATCCAGAATTCAGAAGGTATATCAATGCCAAACAAAGCTGTGAAATTAAATATCGTTGATAATTTGCTCATGGAAGACACATCCATAAGTAGAAAATATTCAACTTCAAATTAGTAAACTCTGATAAAACATTACAACCTAACTATGAATGCCAATGAAAAACAGTATCGTATCATCGTATCAAACGAAAATAATCGTCTATAGTTAGGTTCAAACTTCAAGAAAATTGAATAAAGGCCTTGCTTGTTGTTGCTCTTTGAAATTCTGGATTCGCGAAATTAAAGGAAAAACATAAGGGACTGGTGTGTGGCTGCACTTCACCTGGAACAACTGAAACATCACCTCTCATGTCAACTGCACCAACCGAGTAGCCGCTGGTCACTTCACTGTAAAAAAAGAAAAAAACCATACGTAATTTGTAATCTTCAATGAAGAAGATGATTTGTTTGGAAAAAAAGGTATGAGTCAAGGTCACGAACAATAAGGAGGCCATCATGCTAGTTTTACATTACTAATTGATCGTTGTGGTGTAGTTGTGTTGTGTTGTTTAAGCTTGTAGTTTGTGAAAGTAGCCTGTAGCCTGTAGGTTATGTAATTAATTTTGTGTCAAAGGAGTAGACAGGAGACTAATTATTAATTCTTCTCAGCAGGTGTAAAAGATCAAAGAAGTGAATAGAACATAATCGAATGTCAGTATCGTCACCAGTACCAACTACAACATCAACTGCTCCTCTATCAGGTGAACCATAATCTCGCACTACACTGCTACAATCTGGAGAGACGTGCTTGTTAATTAGCCGATAAATCTCTAGTGTTTAAGGTAGCATGGAAGCTTGTCTGATTCCTCTGTAGGTGCCATTTGATTCCCACTTCATGTGATGGATAACTTTTCAACGTGAGCTGGAGCATGGGCAGTAACCTGACCAGCACAGGGGTTACCCCCAGCCCAACCACCATGGACAACACTCTTGAAATGAGAATTAACATAGGGTTGTTATAGGCCAATTGGGATGATAATTATACCAGTAGATAGAGAATTCATAGGGCTATCATATATCTGGTAATTGATTTAATCCCTTGCATCGTTGTTGGTGAATGTCCATTTTCCCTGTGTTTTTTGGGTATCAGCAGATGGTGGAAACCACCAGTTGACAAGAGCAAAAATTTTCCAATGGGACACAACACAGACAACTGACGTTAGTGAACCGACAATTCCCAGCATTTGGGTATAAATAACCCTTAAATTCCTTATTTCAGTGTAGTACTCAACTCTTTTAATTTTATCATCAGTAATATTTTATTACAAACACACACTTACAAACAAACAAAACAAATATTTAACAATGGCTATTACAGTTGGTATTAACGGTTTCGGTCGTATTGGTCGTTTAGTCTTGAGAATTGCTTTATCAAGAAAAGACATCAACATTGTTGCCATCAATGATCCATTCATTGCTCCAGAATATGCTGCTTACATGTTCAAATATGATTCTACTCATGGTCGTTACCAAGGTGAAGTTTCCCATGAAGGTTCAAACTTAGTCATTGACGGTCATACCATCAAGGTCTACCAAGAAAGAGACCCATCTTCAATCCCATGGGGTAAAGATGGTGTTGATTACGTTATTGACTCTACTGGTGTCTTCAAAGAATTAGACACTGCTCAAAAACATATTGATGCCGGTGCTAAGAAAGTTTTGATCACTGCTCCATCATCAACTGCTCCAATGTTTGTTGTCGGTGTCAATGAAGACAAATATACTCCAGATTTAAACATTATCTCAAATGCTTCATGTACCACTAACTGTTTGGCTCCATTAGCTAAAATCATCAATGACAAATTCGGTATTGAAGAAGGTTTGATGACCACTGTCCACTCCATCACTGCTACCCAAAAAACTGTTGATGGTCCATCCCACAAGGACTGGAGAGGTGGTCGTACCGCTTCTGGTAACATTATTCCATCATCAACTGGTGCTGCTAAAGCTGTTGGTAAAGTTATTCCAGAATTAAAAGGTAAATTAACTGGTATGTCTTTAAGAGTTCCAACTGTTGATGTTTCAGTTGTTGATTTAACTGTTAAATTATTAAAAGATGCTACTTATGATGAAATCAAAGCTGCTGTCAAAGAAGCTGCTGAAGGTCCATTAAAAGGTGTTGTCGGTTACACTGAAGATGCTGTTGTCTCATCAGATTTCTTGACTGATTCTCGTTCATCAATCTTTGATGCTTCAGCTGGTATCTGGTTATCACCAAAATTCGTTAAATTGATCTCATGGTACGATAATGAATACGGTTATTCCACCAGAGTTGTTGATTTATTAGAATACGTTGCTAAAAAATAGATTAGTTGATCTTTAGCTTGTCTTTTTATAATGAATCAATCGAAAATGAAGTATTTTATAATTATGAATTAAATGAATAATATTTTGAATTAAAAGATTATTGTAGTTATACATTTTTCAGTCTTTTACTAATTTGTTGATCTAGTTTGATCTTTTTGAGCTTGATTGAAATTTCTCTGCCTGCCCAACGTGGGTGTTTCGGCGTGTGCCCATCAGATGAGCCTAGATCAATCAAAAGAGGACCAAATTACCACAATCAATTGATCATTTAAAAGAGAGTTTATGGAATGAAATTAGAGGCTAATCAAAGAGCCACTTATAATATCTAAATCATTATTTCTCCTCTCTTTGCTCATTTTTTGCTCTCTTTTTCTTTTCTTATCAGCAGTAAAATTGACGTTTCAACAAGTTTGCAAAAGGCCACAAAAAAAAAAAAGAAGGCGTTGAATGCGCTATCAAATCAAGTGATGATGAGATGATTCAAAGCAATTTATTTTGCATATATAACCAACAAAGGGCCCTAAAAATTTCATCACCTATACATAGATCACAAACTCCAATACAATCCCACCAATAGATTGGTTCATCAACACATACACAGAGACTCTAGTACATTTCATACCTCCTTCATCGGATGACTGAATTATCATTTAGTCAAATCTCATTTTTAACTTTCCAAGCTGTTGTTCAAGTTATAATTGTATGTTTTGCAGGGTTTTGGGCTGCAAAAACTGGATTATTAAATAAAAATGCTCAAAAAGTTGTATCTACGTTAAATGTTGATTTATTTACTCCAGCTTTGATTTTTTCAAAATTGGCAAAATCTTTATCATTTAAAAAATTGATTGAAATTATTGTAATACCAATTTTTTATGCTTTATCAACTGGTATTTCATTCTTGGTTTCTAAAATTGTCACAAAATATTTATCTTTAGATGAATATGAATCTAATTTTGTTACTGCCATGAGTGTTTTCGGTAACTCAAATTCTTTACCAGTTTCATTAACAGTGGCGTTAGCTTATACTTTACCAAATCTTGAATGGGAAGATGTGGAAAATGATGGCGCTGATCAAATTGCTGCTAGAGGTATTTTATATTTATTAATTTTCCAACAAATTGGTCAAGTTTTAAGATGGTCATGGGGTTATAACACTTTATTGAAAAGAAATCCAACTCCTTTAACAAGTTATACTGTTGATGTGGAAAATGAAGCTGCAAATAACAACAATACAACCAATTCTGATAATGATTCAACTTCTAAATATAATCAACAAAGAAATTTGTTTAATGCAAGTTCAAATTCTTCACAAAGTGATCATTTATTAAACCCAAATTATGATTATGATGAAGATGAAGAAAATAATAGAGCTGGTGATTTTAACGATTATTATGAAGAACAGTCTTTTTTCAAAAAATTGATTCATAAAATTGAGCAAGGATTTGAAAAATTTAGATCTGCAATGAATCCTCCATTATATGCAATGGCTGCATCTGTTTTCGTTGCTTCAATTCCTCCAATTCAAGAAGCTTTTTATGTTAATAATGGATTTGTCCAAAACACAGTATCAGAAGCTATTAGACAATTGGGTTCAGTTTCAATTCCTTTGATTTTGATTGTTTTAGGTTCAAATTTGTATCCTTCACAAGATACTCCACCTGCATCACCAAATTATAAAAAAATTGTTTTTGGTTCATTAATTTCAAGAATGATTATACCCCCATTAATCTTGTTGCCAATTATTGCATTCGTTGTTAAATATATTCAAATTAGTATAATTGATGATCCAATTTTCTTGGTTGTTGCATTTATTTTAACTATTTCTCCACCAGCTATTCAATTATCTCAAATTTGTCAATTGAATGAATTGTTTGAAAAAGAAATGGCTGGTGTTTTATTTTGGGGTTATGTTGTGTTAACTTTACCAACAACTATTGTTACCGTTTCTGGTGCTTTACGTGTTTTGGAATGGGCTATTGATGATTATTGATGAGTAGGCAAAAAGAAAATAAAATTGTAAATAAAAAAAAGGTTTTGCAAAAGGTTGTGATACAGTCGCTAGTTAATAGAATATTCAATGATGAGAAAGAGTTTAGTTGTAGATATTGCTTTCGATGCCATTGATAATGCATGGTAAATATATGTTGTTAATTTTGTGGTATACGTGAATATTTTTGAAAATAATCATACCATCTCAAAGTAATTACTCTAGACTATCAGAGGATATTACGCATGAATTTCAGATCAAGCTGAGACTGTGATGTATCACTCATTAATGGTTTGAACTAGTTTGGTTTGAAATTACTCCTGAACTAGAAAAATATATTTGCGACGAAATATTTCCACACTAATTTATTTAAAAAATCATCAACTTTAATCTTTAATCCAATTGGAAACAGTACCATAAACTTTTAGTTAAAAATATTATCATTTTGAGAGAACTTGAAGGTTTTAGGTTTTCTTAGCGAAGCAAGGTAGTAATGGTTGAGATATCATGATCTTGTAACACCTAGACTGTGTAATATTATTATTGAAAATAAAATCGGTACGTGCACCCAAAAATTTTCACCTGCAATTTGTTTTTGTGAAAGACGTAAAATTTAGCACCATACTCAAATAAAGGAAAATTATTCAAAACATATTGTTTACTAATATTCCATGTTTAATTAAAACATATATACCAATTTTATTTTCAAATTCTCAGAATCAAGTCTATAAGGTGGCTCTGAACTTTATTGGATGACTAATACTTATATATATAGCTTACATAAACAGTAAGAATATTACGTAAGATAAGATATTTTTTTTTCCCCCGTCAGGTGGCAGATGGCAGATGGCAGATGAGATTTCAGGTGAGGTGTTCGGTGTTCGGTGATTGGCGAAACATAAGCTACAACAAACTTCTTACCACACTTGCATTACCATATACACAATCACTCAACTCCAATAATCATAGTCTTGATAGTAGTGTAATCTTCTATACCATATTTACTACCTTCTCTACCAAAACCCGATTCTTTAACACCTCCAAATGGTACCGCAGCCTCACTTATAGCACCAGTATTTATACCAATCATCCCAATTTCTAAAGCTTCACCTAATTTGAACATTCTGTTTATATCTTTTGTAAAGAAATATCCTGATAACCCAACATCTAATGAATTGTTCAAGGATATAACTTCTTCCAAAGTCTCGAATTTGATTATTGGAGCAATTGGACCAAAGATTTCTTCAGTGAAAATATCCATTTCTGGAGTTAGATTAGTTAAAATTGTTGGCTTGTAAAAATTATCACCTAATGAAGAACCTTCACCACCAATTTCAACTTTAGCACCTTTTGATTTAGCATCATCAACTAAACTTTTGATTTTCTCAAATGCCTTTTTATTAATCAATGGACCATGTGTAATTGAAGAATCATTTGTATCATAACCTTTACCTAATTTGAAACCTTTAACTTTTTCAATAGCTCTTGACAAAAATTCATCAAAAACATTCTCCTGGACAAATATTCTATTTGCACAAACACATGTTTGACCACTTTGTCTGAATTTACAAGCAACTAAACCTTCAATTGCCTTATCAATGTCTGCATCTTCAAATACAATAAATGGTGCATTACCACCTAATTCAAATGATGTCTTTTTCAGAGTAGAACTTGCTTGTTTTTGTAGAATTTTACCAACTCCTGTAGATCCAGTAAACGAAATCTTTTTAATTTTTGGATGTTCACATAATAAAGCACCAACTTTAGAAGTATATTCATGATCAGTTGCCAATATATTAACAACACCAGGTGGGAAGCCAACTTCTTCACATAATTTACCAATAGCTAATGCTGTCAATGGAGTTTCTGAAGCTGGTTTAATAACTGCAGTACAACCAGCTGCAATTGCACACCCCAATTTTCTTGTAATCATTGCTGCTGGGAAATTCCATGGTGTCATGATACCTACAACCCCAATTGGTTGACGAATTGTAATAATTCTCTTTGAAGCACTTGATGATGGAATCACATCTCCATAAATTCTTGGTGCTTCTTCTGAATACCATTGAAAAAATGAAGCAGCATATTCAATTTCACCAATTGATTCTTTCAATGGTTTACCATTCTCATAACATAGAATTTTACCTAAATCTTCTTTATTTTTAATTAATGATTGATATAAATCTGATAATAACTTCGAACGTTCTCTTGCACTTGTCTTTTTAAAACTTTGGAAACTTGTGAATGCAGATTGAATTGCCTCTTCATAGTCAGCTTCACTAGCTTTTGAAACTTTTGTAATCTCTTCATTAGTTGCCGGATCCAAAATTGCAAATGATTTCCCTGTAACACCTTCTTTCCAACTACCATTGATGAATAGTTTAGTTTGTAATAGATTTTGTTTTTGTAATTGAATTGAAACCATCTTGATATTTGTTGTATGAAATTGTCGTTTACACAATTTCCCAAATATTGTAAAACTCATTTTGGGATTTGTCATTTTCAAGTGCTTTTTATACTTATTGGTCCTTGAATTAGAGGAGTAGTAAGTGGCATCATGATGTTTTGCTCTTCACCAAATCAAGCTTGCTCCTATTGTGTGCGTGTCTCGGGTACTTTATTTTTTTTTGTCTTTGGCGGTGTTTTGCTAAAGGGAGAAACTACCCCAGAAAACATCAAAAAAGTAAAAACGTATAATGATCTGAATTGTGTGTAGAGGTAGGTAAAAAAGGTTACATTTAATTATAATGAGCCAAGGTGAGAATCTTTACGAGTAGTGGTATTCATCTTGCTGATGTTTTGCTTCCTTAAAGGCTAAATACAGAGTCTTCAGCTGAGATGAGCTAACAACAAGAGATCTGTTTCATTCTTGAGCTCTACGACAATTAAATCAAATACCTTTCATAATGTTGATATATATTTACAAATATTATGGTGTTAGTTCATGGGCGTTATTGTGTAGTGTGACGTCTCTCATAATTAATCATTCTTGGATTCTTTAGTTTCTAAAACTGGTTCATTAGCACAATCGCTAAATAACTCTTCAAATATTTCTGAATAATTATCCACAAATAATGGTTCAAAATCTTCCTTTAATTTTGCTTCTAAATCATCAAAATCATTTTCATTATTTTTTGGTAAAATAACTTTCTTGATACCATTTCTCTTGGCTGCAATCAATTTTTCTTTTAACCCACCAATTCTTAAAACTTTACCGGTTAATGTAACTTCACCAGTCATTGCAATTGGTGGTAATGGTTTGTTCAATGCTAATGAGATTAAAGAAGTGGTCATAGTGATACCAGCTGATGGACCATCTTTTGGAATAGCACCTTCTGGGCAATGGACATAAACATTATGTTTCTTGAAATAATCAGTCTTGACAAAGCTTTTAGCAAGAGCAAATGCAACATTTGAACTTTCCTTCATTGTTTCACCTAATCTACCAGTGACTCTGAAATCACCACCTTTTTCAACAGGTTCACCTGTACTTTCAACATATAGCGAAGTACCACCAATTTGTGTCCATGCAAGACCCATAATAACACCCGCTGGAGTAACTTCATATAATCTATCACTTGTATAAACTGGTGGTCCAATATAATCTTTCAGGTTTTCTGGTGTGATATCTAATGCAAAACTTTCTGGTAAAACAACTTTTTCTACTGGAATATCCTCTTTCTTAACAGTTTCTCTATCAGCTTTTGGTTCACGGTGATCAATGTTTGGTTGAACTTTTTCTTCACTCACTAATTCATCTTTTTCAACAGTGTCTGTAACAGCTTTAAATGCAGCTTTTCTATAGATTTTTTCAACCAATTGTTTTAATCTTCTAACACCATTTTCTTTGGCATAATGTTTAACAATGGCATCAACAGTTTCATCCTCAATCTTGATATTGACATCTTCAAGACCTGATTCTTTTTTAGCTGATGGAATCAAATAATTCTTTGCAATTTGAACTTTTTCTTCTTGAACATAACCTGGAATTTCAATAACTTCCATACGATCCAATAATGGTCTTGGAATAGTATCCAAAGTATTTGCTGTACAAACAAATAATGCTTTTGATAAATCAACTGGGAAATCCATATATTGATCCAAAAATTCATTATTTTGTTCTGGATCTAATAATTCTAATAATGCAGCAGATGGATCACCATTAATAGCTGGGTGTGTACTGATTTTATCAATTTCATCAATCAAAATCATTGGATTCATTGTACGAGTTTTCTTCAAGGCTTGAATGATACGACCTGGTAATGCACCAACATAAGTTCTTCTATGACCTTTGATTTCTGAAACATCTGATAACCCACCAACCGAGATTCTAAAGAAATTTCTGTTTAATGCTCTACCAATAGATTTACCGATAGATGTTTTACCAACACCTGGTGGACCAACAAAACAGATGATCTTACCTTTAACAGATCCCAGTAATTTAGCAATGGCAATGAATTCTAAAATACGATCTTTAACATCTTTCAAACCATAATGATCTTCTTCCAAGATTTTTTTAGCACTTGCAATGTTGAAAGTTTCTGGTGTGAATTTACCAAATGGAATATATGAGATCCAATCCAAATAATTTCTTGTAACACCAAATTCTGACATATGAGGTTCTAAAGTTTGTAATTTTGTTATTTCATCATCAATAATTTTTTGAACACTTTCCGGGATATCATAATCTTTGATTCTTTCCGTAATAGTGTCAATAACTTTTTGACGACCATCATCCATACCCAACTCTTTCTTGATTTGTTTCAATTTTTCCATCAAAACATATTCCTGTTGTTTCTTGGTGATTTTTTGTTCAACTTCTTTAACAATCTTATCATATAGTTGAACTTGCAAGACTTCTCTTTTCAATAAAGTCAAAGCCATTTCTAATCTTTTCTCCACATTAAGCTCATCTAAAACTTCTTGAATTTCTCCAACTTTACCAACACATAATGAGGCTGTAAAATCTGCCAATTCACCTGCATTGTCAAACACAGAACCTCCATCACGGTCACTGAAGACAGTTAATTGTTCTTTGATATGATGGTTATATTGAGCAGCATCTTTAAAGACTCTTAGGATTTCGCTTGATAATGCGTTAACAACAGGTGAACTCTTGTCAAATGGTTCAGATGATGCTAATGAAATATTAACTCTTGAAACTTCATATTCACTCAAGAATTCAGTTGGATTGTATTCTGATTCCTCATCAATCTTTTTGATTAAACGCTCTTCTTTTTCATTCTTGACAGATTCTTCCTCCAAAGCCTTACCTTCTTCAAGTAATTCTTGTTCAACTTCTTTTTCTAGTTTATCCTTGTTGATAGTTTCACTAGTGATAACTTCACCTAAAGGTTTTGGTGGTAAAACTTCATCAATTTTGATTCTAAAATGTGGATAGACAACAATAGTCATATTTTCCTTACCGTGAACATCTTTAGTCATATGGCAAGAAGTGATTTGAGCGAAAACACCAGTCTCAAAGACTTCATCTTTGCTGCTAATTGTATCACTATCAGCATCTTCTTTTTTAAAGGCAAAAACACCAATATAAGGTTTGTTCTCATCAACTAATCTATTAACAGCATTCATCACTTGAGGATCAGCGATTCTAACAGCTTTATAAAGACCTGGGAACAATGGACGTTGTGTAATTGGGACAGCTAAAACTTGAGGATAGATTTCAGGACTGTATTCAACTCTAGCAGCCTTACGACCACCAAGTTTATTTCCATCATCTTCACCACCATCATCAGATCCATTTGAAGATGATGCTTCATTCTTTGCACCGGCTGAAGCAGAAGATGATTCACTAACAGTTTCTGTAGTTTTTTCATTCTTTGTAGGAGTCTCTTTTCTTTTTCTCTTTCTTTCAGGTTTTTCATCCTTAGTTGGTGTTTCTTCTGTCTTTCCTGAATCTTCAGTTGGTTTAGATTTGTCATCTTCCTTGAGAATCAACTGCTCACTCAACATCTCATCAATAGTTTGAATACCAGGTTCCATCAATTCCTTGTTATGAACTCTTGGATTAAATTTGATCTTAGAGACAAGGGAGGTGTCATTGATAATGTCATTGTATGAAAGTCTTGATGCTAGTCTAATTGATAGTGATGATGATTTAATTAGGTTGGCTCGCTGATTAGCGGCTAGTATTGGTCTCAAACAGCTTTTCGAGCGTAACATAATAAGACTTTCGTGCTCAATTGATTGTTACCTCTTTGTATAACTTTTGTTTGAGTGAGTTGTTGAGTTTAGTTGATCAAGGAAGTGGCAAGAAGCCTGTAGATACAGATGAAAGTTGTCGAAGTTCACGGTGTTCGGGTGTTTTTTTTTGTATTTCCGATCTTCGAATCTTTAACCTATATCTTTGACATTCTGTTGAACAATTGAATATAACAGAGTAGATGAGGCATTCAAAAGGAAGGTTAGTTGGTATAAGGTTATTAATCACATCTTGATCAGAGAATTTTGTTCAATTGGCTGATTTGGCGCGTTGTACATGCCAATCCCAATTGTTTCATCTACATATCAATCAAGTTGATCATAATATTAGTACACAAGTCCTATATACACACAGAGACTGGACTGCTATTAACATTTTTTCAAAATAAAAACAAAACAAAATCATCTAGAAGGCCAAAAAAAACAAACTAAAACCAAAATAGGACTCGACTAAAAACAAGTCTTTCTGAAATATCGTATAACATGTGTTGAGACTCCACAAAAACCTTCATTTCTCAATATCATTAATCATTCTCATAAGTACACTTTTATGCAGATATTCTGGGAATACCCACAGTGCAAACATCAGTAATGCTCGTTGGTATATTCATACAGCACACCATCCTCTCCTTCAGTCTTTAAACCATTTGATGTATAATTATGTTCATCATTGATGTGATTTGTGTTCTCGTGTTTCTCATGTTCGTCTTGCTGATGTTGATGGTGTGATGGCTCCAACGAAAGCATATCTTCCTCTTGAACATCCTTTATTGAATTCATAATATCATGATGCATATGATTCTCTATATCCAAATCTTCTTCACCATTCAAGGGAATATTGGTAATTTCTCTCTGAAGTTGTTGTTCTTGTTCAAATACTGAATTCTGTTTGCTTCTTGGTCTTTTGGTTTCACCACGTTCTTGTTTTAAAGCTTGTTGTTCCCTATACTTTGCAAGATAAATTTTTAAAACTTCAGAGTAGTTTTCAAAACCCAAACTTGACATCGCAAAAAGTATGTCTTCACCATTTATTGTTTTTCTCTTCTCTGACAAACATTTATCACTTGACTCACTCGTTATGAACGATATAAATTCAGAAACACACTCTTGCATACATTCTTTAGCATCTTTTGAGACCTTAGCAGTGGCTGGCAGGGTGTTCTTCATCAATCGTGCAACATTAGCAATAGGCAGCCATCTATCCTGTTCTCTCAGTTCTATTTCCTGATGCTGTTTTTCTGTAAGCTGTGGTACCGCAGACCCATTGGTGCTACTATCTCCACTGTTTTCAATATTCATTTCTAATGACTCAACAAATAACCTTCCACTTTGTGCTTCTAGAAATCAGCTATTTTCACTGTTTCTCAACCTCCTGTAATCTTGAAATTGTAATCTGTTTGGTGATTAGCAGCGTATTCAAACTCAACTTTGTTTTCGTTTAGCCTTCCAATTGTGACATTGATTACATTTCGTTCTCTTCGATTAGTTATTTTTCTTCGCGAGCGAAAAGTTGTCGATGGTCAAAAAAATGGCGAAATTGGGAATTGGGTAGAATTTCCGAATTTGCAAAGTTTTCGCTGAATCGCGAAAACGTTTTTGCAGATTGGCAGATTATAGATTTTTACGCAAGAAACCATCATAAAAGTGATGAAAAATTCAAAGACGCGTTTCAAATAATCAACCAAGTTGGAAAGGTTTCAACTAAAACAAGTCTATTCATATACATAATGCCACCAAAAGGTTGGAGAAAAAGTGCAGATGGTTCCTACCCACTTCCTTCAAAGGAAAGAGATCTGATCTCTATTGATGATATATTGTTTCCAAAAGCCACTGTCAATAGATTAGCCAGAGCTATTCTTGAAGAAGGTCATCTCATATCAAAAGATAGCTCAACGGCTATACAAAGAAGTGCTACAGTGTTTGTCAGTTATTTACTAGTGCAGTGAGTTTCTTTGTTATAAAGCAACTGAGTATTATACTAACCATCCATTTATTTAGTGCAAGAGAACACGCTAGAAAATTTGATAGAAGAACGATAGGGCCTCAAGATATAACAAATGCTCTTGTCGCTGCTGAATTTTCATCATTTCTACCAACGGTGAAGCAAGAATTGGATACATATCAAGCTAATAAAGATGCATTGAAGCAAAAGAGAAAAGAAGCTAAAGAAAAAGAAGGAGCTGCCACTGGAAATGAAACAATAGATGAAAACGATAAAGAAGAAGTTAATAACGATGGAAATGACGACGATGATGACAATGAAAGCCTAGAACAGTTGGATGAAGGCGAATTTGAACAACCAGTCTCCAAGAAGATAAAAGCCCTTGCAAATGGCTCGAGGGAGGACACGGTTAGTGAGCCTGAGACTGATCAGAACTAATACACATGCAAATGAATGAGAAACTTTACTTTGTAGAGGCCTGAATTGTTTAAATGTTTAAATTTTCCATGTTTAAAATCGAGATCTCGGTTAGGCTGTTGATCCCCGCGAATTTTTCGAATCAGTTTAAGCTTTTCTCTGTAACACAAAAGCCATTTTGCGAGCCATCAACTAAAAGTTCAAAAAGGGACCGACCAGATTTGAAGCACAATGGGAAATAATTGTGAAATCTCCACCCACTCATATGGATCGGATGCTATAAATCACCACCACAAGTTTGCATTGTTTATTCTTCCAAGTGAATGTTAATGTGCTATGAATAAAAGAAAGCTATTGAAATCAGAAAATACACAGTATGAAAATGAATCTAGCTCAAAAGATCAGGTTGATTCCAAAAGTGCTCATAAATATAGAGATTCTATTAAACAAAAGTTTTCTAGAGGAAAAGATCATACAAAAAAGAGAATGAAGATTTTATATGAACATTGGCCTAATGTTGTTTCATTTTTGTCCAGAAGTGAAGATGTTAATAATATTTATTCAATTCCTGAGCTCAAAAATTCTATAAGTGGAAAAGTATGGATTGATATTGCTACACGTCTTACAGAACTAGGATTTTCATACTCTATTGGTAAGCCGCTAAGCTCAGAATATTCTCCAACGTTAGTTTGTTCATGTGAACCTCGTGGTAGTGACTCAGCTATTTCACCTTTTTCCATCTTTTCACCTTCAACTGTCGGCAGTGAGCTTTTTGATAATGGTGCTCCAGCTGTAAATCACATGGCTGGGAATTATATTATTATTAACCAGGATAGCTTTGGGAACAATTCAAGATTGAGTCAACAATTTACTGCAATATCACCAGCACTGATTGGGAAAAACTTTAACATCTCGAATGAACTCAAGGTTTATATTAAACACAATCCAATCATTATTATTTACATTCCATCATATATGTTGAATTCTAAAGAGCTAGGTGGGCTTATTGGTCATATCATGTATTATTTTCCAAAAAAATTCATTAGAGTTGCAATTACTGATGCTGCTTTCACTAAACATGATGTATACCATATTCTTAGGTTCTTCATAGACTCTATCAATTCAGGTAATGTGGTTGGATTTGATTACCCCGGAATCGTGACCTTGGAGAATAGAATTTTTGAAAGAATCTACTTGCTGTCAATTGGAAATAGGTTTTTCTTGGATACAAGCATTTTGAACACTTATAGCTATTACTTCCCTGATGCTGTTAATCTGAAGCATGAAATTTCCGGTATCAATTTGGATAAAGTCAAATATATCATGCTTGATGTGCCAAACTTGAAGAACATGGTTATTCACTTGAGTGATAGCTGTTACGGAATCACAACAGATCATTATTTTAGAAATCTTCTGTCTCCAAATCTTGCTAATCTTGAAATCTCCTTTCAAAGAACCAAATATTATGTTCCAGCAACGAAACTTCAGTTGAATGTTAGTGTGTTATTGAATAAGTTTCAAATGTTGAAGGAGTTGAAAATTGATGCTGAAGGAGCTGTTCTTGAGTTTGATGCTAGTTTGGAAGTTTATGCTATGTTGGATTCTTTTATTTTGCAAAATTATTTTGAACCTTTCCAATTAGAAACAAAGATTTTTCAGAATATCAAGTCAATAGAGTTTGAAAATTTAGCTGGTTTGGTACATATTGATGCTTTAGAAGACTGTGAGAAATTAAGTTCCCTAAAAATTCATAATTGCCCATATATAATATCAATTGAAAACCTCAATTTAAATCAACTCAAATATTTTACATTCACTTCCCTCCATACTGAAGCTCCATTCTTGAAAATTCAAAACGTTTCCTTAAAAAATGTCCAAATGTTGAAGTTTGTGCTTCGTTGTCCAGGTCTTATAATTATCAAAAATATCCGCGCCACAAGTTTGGTTAGCTTTGTTTATAATTGCAGAAGTTTGAACACCCTGAATTTTCCATCAGCTACTATATTTGATGATGGGGTCAACTCTCCAAACTTGATCAATCTCAAATACACAGTTGCTTCAACAAGAGAGCTTGTTGAATTGTTAAATAATAAGTTTGTTTTTGAAAGAATCAATTATTTAATAGTTCACAACATTGGCCCTTTTGGTAAAACTGTTCAAGAAATGAAGGACCAAATAGAAAATGCCTTTGAGGAAGACTTTCCACCTTTTGAATTAACATATTACCAAAATGATGAGGACAAACTTAATGTTTCGTTAACTGGGCTCCATAGAATTGGATGTACTGATAGAGAATGTGATTCATCTTTGGATAGCTAATTATGAAATAAGAAATACTACATCGAATGCATTCAGTAGATATCGATTTGCAAATATTACTCCTAACTATAGCTATTACCATCCCAACGAACCAAATTAATTAAACACCACTGTGTCCGTTTCTCCTCCTTTATGCTTGTGTGAAGATTCGGGAACAAACGCCTTTGCCAAAATCAATAAAAGAATGACAACAAATATCACCACTAGAACCCAAAACTTGACATTCTGCCACCACATTTTTCTTTTCACTCTGGTTGTATTTGATCTAAAATTACTAGATAATGTATTTATTCTATCAGTTTTATTAACTAATAAATTTATTCTTTCATTTCTTTCCAAAACTTGTTCAATATTATCATTCAAGATATATTTCACCTGATTTAAATCATTCTTAGTTATTTCGATCAAATTTCTTTGAAACTGATTCTCTTGAAATTTGATAATCTGATTAAATTTTATTTTGAATTCAACATTTGAATTTGAAGTTTCCCTATATTCTCTATAATCCTTGATGATCGTATCTAGGGTCAATAATGGGAATGAACGTGGTATATCTGCAGAGCAAATTGTCAGCACAGTGACAAGATCATTTGAAGGTAAGATGTATTTTAGGAAATATAATGACAGGTGTAAATTTGAGAGTTCTAGAGGGATGGACCCAACAAGTGACTCTGATGAATTGATAACGCTTATTTGGTTTGATATGGCTTCATTGAGGTTGTTCAATTTGAATTTGGTGACTATCACTTGGTTTTCCAAGGTGTATAAAGTGGTTGAATTTAATGTAAGAGTGGTATGAATCACTAGGGTTATGGTTAGTTTAGGTGTCACTTTTTTATTTTTATTGATGGGCAGGATAGGATGACTTTAACTTACAAGAGCTATTTATGTCATTTTCTTCAGTCATGTTTGAAGTGGTTATTTCTTTAGATAATTTTGTATCTCCCTACTGGTTGTGGGGAGTTGTTGTTTTGATGTCGTTGATAATGCGAGGTTGGTTATACTTTATTTTGTGGATCTCTCAAATTTGAAGATTCGGATTACACATAGCTGCCATCTCAACAAGGGTCACTACAATGTATAGGAGAAAACCCACATCACCATGTAAAATATGTTTATTCGTTAAAGTTGTAAATTCGTCATTAAATATTGCCTAGTTATCACTTTGGCTGGCTGATAAGATTCTCAAGATGTTTAAAAACAAGTTGATAATATCCAAATATAAGCTGATAGCTGCTGGAACTTCTTCCTCAATGTTGAATTTTCTCATAATTAATTGGGTGTCAACAAGAATGTAGCCACTGAAAACAATAGCCCCAATTGAGCTATAGACTAGTTCAGCAGTACTTGATGGTTTGAAGAAGAACCAGATGAAGCCAATACCAATCAAGCAGAATAGAACTGAATTCAAAACACCAATCCATGAGGTGAAATCATATTTTGATTGGAAGGCAAATAAGGTTAACCCAATAAACACAACCAATGTGATTGTCAAAGCTTCTAAAACGATTTGAGTATCGTAAAGACTTGTAGCAACACCGATGATATAACCTTCAAATATAGTGAATCCCGTCAATAACACCAAATTAATTGGATACTTTCTACTTTGAACATAAGCCGCAATCAAGAACCCGATTGAACCTGCGATAGAGACGAAAAACAACCAAATGTTAGTTAGGGCAAAGTTTTGAACAGTCTGATTCAATGATATGAAAGCACCAATAGCACCTGTTATCAATAATTGTAGGAATAATAAAGTGTAGACTTTCTTTATAAATTGTTGTCTTATTGTTAATTCACAACCAGAAACGTTTGTATCATATTTGAAGTCATCTGGGATGTTATCTATCCCTGCTTCGGCCTGTGATTGACCTGGATTGTCTGAATATACTGGTGGATTGTTTATAGGAGCGTAACTCATAGTTAAATGGATGTATTTGTATCGTTTGTTTGATGTTTCTAAAGAGTTGAAAGTTTGTAGATTTTTGTAGAATTTTTGTATTTCTTTGCCACGAAATCGAGCACCTGGGAAAAATACTTACATAATCTATGACAAATCATAATGACTAAACTATTAATAGAAGATTGTACTATAATTGTAGTTACAAAGTCTTTATAAACTATACTTGACCACAGTTGGCTCTATAAAACGATCTTGGGTTGATGGCGAAAAGTTCATAGACAAACAGGAGCATCAAGAACAAAGTGTCTATCCAAATTAACGTCACAATTTTCCATTCAGTCCAAGCAAGACCCAAGATTATACCACCAACTGGTATTCTAAAGCCTATTCTCAGATATCTATTGACTAAATGATCTTTTGGATCATCTTTTGGTTTATCTAACAATGGATGGATTGTCAAGGCACATAAGGCAATGAATATACCAGCACTAAAGAAAAAAACAACACCTCTTTCTTCTTCATAAGGTTCACCAAGTTTTGCCAAATCAGCACCTGCATCACCAACAATCAAAAGTGAAGCAATCAAAGGCAAGTGAATGTAGATGTAGCCTAATGCTGTTGACACACTTCTTCTCATAGCGTGGGTAGCTCTTATAGAACCATCTTTATGAGAATACAATTCCAAAAAGATGAAGGCATCTATCAGTAATGCAATACCTTTTGCAACCTTTGTATTCCAACCTTCGCTCAAAGCATTACCAGAAACAATTCCCAGTAAAAACTCACCAATTGAGATAATGAAAAACGCACTTAATCTTTCATCTTCATGTTCAATATTTAATGCAGTAGAGTGTGTTAATCCAAGTTTCTTCTTTGTCCAAGGGTGATAAGAGATAACAAAACAACATTGTTCCAAGATTAACCAAATTGCAGAAAACACAATTATCCCTGCTGTTGAGCGAATTAGCAGCAGAAAATACCAACATGAACTTGTTACAATCAATGTAGCTGAATATAACCTCATTTGTGTTCTATGTTCAAAGACATATATGGAGTAAAAAATCAACATGATTGCCAGTGTTATCCTGGCTAAGAAGTAAGCAGTTATAGTTGTGAGTAACGCATTTCTTGATTCAAATATAAATTCAACATTGTTATCATAAATTAGTAAAAGAGCCAAGATAAAGACAACATAGAACTTTTGTAATAAATCGTCATTGAAGTAATAGTTCATAAAGTCTTTCAAATCAGCCCAGATTGTCCAAGCAGGAATGAAATAAAACAGATACTTGACAAACGACAACCAATTTGGTTCTTTGATAGCATTTGAAGATAAATTCATTGCAATACCAACATAGATTAAATCTAAGAACAATTCCAACCTTCCAGAAGTTCTTTCATGTTTTGTTCTGAATAATTTACCATCATGGAAATAATTCAAGGCATATGGTTTGGTAAACCATCTTGATGAAGGTGGTGGCTCAATATAAGAAACATTGATATCACCATACTTCTTTATGAATTCCTCAACATCTGGATCTTCAAATCGAGAACTATCAGCCGCAACATCTTCAACTTGATCAGATCCATCTCTTGTTATGACCTCTCTCTCTGAATCACTCTTGTTACTCATTTTTATAGCAATTATTAACAAAGCGACAAGAAAAGTACTGATCTAACAACGAATTATTAGTGTTTTAGTTTTCTTATAATTTCGCTTAATCAAGGGTGCTTAACTTTAATCAGTTTTTCAATTGCTTGAAATTCCCATACAAACACTTATAACAAACAAGAGCACTTATGAACCAATCCGCTAATACCCCTTTTTCTTAGCCAATGAGAACAAAGTTGGAGACACCGGGAATGTTCTTAGCTGAATTGGCAAGTGGATGGTCAAGTTACTTAAAAGTTTTTAGTCCTTCTCATGCTTCTGTGCATGATTGTGTCTTTCTGTGGTTTGTACCATCTATTTCAATTATCTACTCCGGGTTACTTTATTAAATCATGCTACAAAAACAATACTTTATTATTACTTTTACTTTTATTCTATTTTATACTATATACTTATTCAATTATTCAATTATTATACATTTACTTGATTTGCTACATTTGCTATAGCGTTCAATTATTAGTATTGATCAGGAATCTACTCTTACAGTAATTGTTAGATCTCCCGTCAAAAGCTACAAAATATTAATATTTTGTTAAAGTATTACCATTGTTAAAATCAAGTACAACTTCGGAATTTATTCAAGAATCCTCTCGTTGACTTTTCGAGATTAAAGGAACAAGTTGGAAGGACTCAATACTTTAATTATTTTGTTATTCAGCCTAGTTTGTCGTTCATCTAGTCCACTGACTTTTGCACAACTAATATACTTGATTACTTCACTGTTTATTGAGTATTACACCCCTGAATACATCTACCCAAGATTATCCACTTCAAAAAGATCATTCCACCAGATTTCGTCTAGTTATTTG